CTCACCTGGGATGGAGGCATTAACAAGACCAAAGGTGTTGATGGTCCATCTGAGAGGAATTATTGGGCCTGAGCAGACAGAAGATTGCCAGGATAACTGGGTGGGAGGTGACAGGAAAGGAGTGTATTTAGCAAGGGAGAGAACAAAGACTGAGATACACCTTGGGCAGACTGGCTGGGAGAGATGCCTCGGTTTCTAGCGCTGCGCTGGTGTGGGGAACAAGCCCTTCTTGAGATGCCCCTGTTATAAGATCTGGACTTCCTCCATGCAGACTCACAGTGTAAATATGTGTGGGTGAGTGCCTGGAATCCCCTGGAATCCTGCTACCGCTTTGCAAAGAGTGGAGATGGCGGCACCCGACTTTTGTAACACTATTGTTTCCTGGGAGGCAAAAAGACTATCAATGTCCTACTAGCCAGGATGGCTGTGCTCTGTTGGAGGCTTGCAGATTCCAGCTGCTGGAAGCAGCAGGAGGAGAGAGTGCTCTTGCACTTGGGTTCACGGGCATCTGGCTGACCGCTGTGAGAACAGGATGCTGGACTAGATGGGTTGCTGTGGTGGATAGAAAGCTTTTAAAAAAGCCTTTAAAATGCCAGAGTCTGAGAAAAAAAGACCGCCTTGGTCATTACAGTGGTACCTTGGGTTAAGAACTTAATTCGTTCTGGAGACCCGTTCTTAACCTGATATTGTTCTTAACCTGAGGTACCACTTCAGCTAATGGGGCCTCCCGCTGCCGCCGTGCGATTTCTGTTCTCACCCTGAAGCAAAGTTCTTAACCTGAGGTACTATTTCTTGGTTAGCACAGTCTGTAACCTGAAGCGTCTGTAACCTGAAGCATCTGTAACCCGAGGTACCACTGTATCTTCAGAATCCAGACAAGGCAGGGACAGGAAGGTGGAAGGTGCAGGCAGTGGGTGTTTGACCCACTGGCTCATGAGGGCCCCTTCTGAGTCCTGGGTCCTTAACCAGTGCCTGACCAGGCCAGTCATTGGTGCTGGGGCTGCTAACAAGCGACCTATGTAGAAAATGAGGTGATTCTCTGTACTGTTCTTCTATCAATGTGCTTCTTCCTCCTTTTCCAGTCTCTCCGTTCTATTCCCTATCCCAGTGATGGCAAACCTTTTAGAGACCGAGTGCCCAAACTGCAAACCAAAAACCCACTTATTTATCGCAAAGTGCCCAGAGTGGTTGAGCTTTTTTGGGGGGAGTTGCTGACCAAAGTTTTGGAGCTTTTTTGGGGGGGGGTTGCAAAAGTTGCTTTGCTTTTTGGTGGGGATGCCCCAAAGCTGCTGAGCTTTTTGGGGGGATGGGGAGAGAGAACAGAAATAAATGACGAATAATACCTTCACTGGAACTAATACGCAGCACTGACATCGTCGTCTGCCAAAGCGCCAAAAAAATGAGCACAGAAAGGGTTAAAAAACAAATGCTGTCACACCCAATCAGAAACAGCCACTGACATAGCAAATTGAAAAACAGACCAATCGCGGAACACAATCTTGGCTACTGGCAGAAAAAAAGGGGGGGAATGTTCTGGGTTTTAATAGCAGATGCAAGCTGTAGCATGAGGGAGAGCGGGAGAACAAATGGAAAAAAACAAGAAGAGTGTGGATGGGCTGATGGCACGCTGTGAGGGCTATGTGTGCCACCACTGCCCTATCCCATCAGATTTTCAGCTCCCCCAGCCTCTTAAATGTCTGGGTAGTCCATGAGTTCTCACTGGGCTGCTTTGCAAGGAGATTCCCTCCCCTTAGGGTTCCCTCTTGCCACAAAATATATATTTATATATACTTTTACAGACCTTGGGGTTAACCAACTGCTAAGTGCGGGGCACAGGAGTGATTGCCCTGGGTGCAAAATTGTTAGGGGCACAAAACTTCAACACCCGGTGCTGCCTCAGTACAGCTGTATGCTTCTGCCACTGTCTCTTTTGAAAATGGTCTCTCTATGCTAGGGGTCAGCAAACTTTTTCAGCAGGGGGCCGGTCCACTGTCCCTCAGACCTTGTGGGGGGCCGGACTATATTTTGAAAAAAATAATGAACGAATTCCTATGCCCCACAAATAACCCAGAGATACATTTTAAATAAAAGGACACATTCTACTCATGTAAAAACAAGCTGATACCTGGACCATCCACGGGCCGGATTTAGAAGGCGATTGGGCCGGATCCAGCCCCCGGGCCTTAGTTTGCCTACCCATGCTCTATGCGGACCAGGAAGTGACTTCTCCAGGCAATGTAATGGCTCTTCTTATCTCTGCGGCTGTGATCTCCTGAGTGATGTGGATGCCATTAGACAGCTGAATGCGCATGCGTACTCTTTCCATTTCCCTCCCTCCAACCCCCTCCCTCTGTACAGCGCTGGTCACTGGCAACCCACGCTATGCCACTGCTCCTGAGTCTTCCTCTTATGTGTGGGAAATGCCATTTTAGCAACGTAAGTGTGGCAGTCGGAGAACTGAGCTGGAGTGACAGAACGATGGCAGAGAGAACTTAGGCCAAAGCACGAAAGCCTTTCTAGATCATAAACAACGCCTTGAATTTTGTCTGGAAGGCCTGCTAAGATGCCGGAGGGCTGGACGCAGAACGGCATGAGTATGGTATAGCAATTACTCAAGTGATACAAACATGCTTAGGTCTGATTTACACTGGAGTTGACCCAGGAGAGAGTCATGGCACACAGAGATGAATAGAAAAGCAAACTGAACAGCTCTCGTGAATAAGAGCCAAGAACTGAGTTAATGGTTGGCACAGATTAGGTGAAGAGAATGGAAGGTGGATCTAAGCCATCTTGCTGTCTACCCCATGGACAGTGACGTTCCCAGAAGGGCTATCCACTTTGGCGTTCCCTCTGCTGTCATGACTATATTCTTGGCATCTTCTCTCCATTACAATATGCGCCTTTATAATATACCGAGGCGGGAGGCATAGGTGACACAGATAAATGCGCACTCATGTCGCACCTCATATTCAACGAGCAGACATTCTGAAGAAAAAGTTTGTAATTTTGCCAGGCAAGCACAAAGTGTCCCAGCAAAGTGTCAGTTTGAGTCGGGTTGGGTTTCACTTATTATGTATGAGAGGGATTAGCTAAATTCGGAAGACAAGGAAAAAGAAAGCTTGATGTAAATTATAAATAATTATTACGGGTTTTTTTTAAAAGAGTTGGGAGGGACCTCTAAGGTCACCTGGTCCAACATTCTGCTGTGAATTGGATCCGTGTTTTTGTGTGTCATTGTCAACCTCCCTGAAACTTCCAGGTTTCAAAACAATAATGCCCATGAACAGTTGCTGGAACCCATAGGACGGAGGGTACTGAAGTGCTTGGTAGCCACTTGTGGTTTTCCCATGGTTGGACTAGATGGGCCAATACAATACAATACAATACAATACAATACAATACAATACAATTTGTATCATATTTAGTGTTTTGTAGGTGAACACCAACTCCTTGTATTGGGCTTGAAAATACACTGGCAGCCCATTTACTTGTTTCAGAATAAGAGTAACAAAAGGGAGAGCTGCAACAAAATGTTGTAGTATATCATTACCCCCTAACTGGAATGTTCCTGTTCAGGGTTTCAGCCAGCCAGCTTTCCATGCCTTCATTTTGTATACTATTAGCTGTGACAGGCTGCAGCAAGCCAGTTCACTCTTCTTTTTTAAAAAAGAAATAATTTTTATTGATTTTCTTTTCTCATAACAAATATCCAATATCATTACTAAACATTCATTTTTCAGTTTTCCCCCTCCCTGTTGACTTCCTTCATCTTCCCTCCCTGTTGACTTCCCTCATCAATTTCCCTCATCAATTTCCCTCATTTCTGGTTTATTACATCAAATGATACATTCTGCTGTCTGTATATAATACTATGCTATCACATTGTTATACTTCTTATTTTCTGTAAATAAAATTGTAAATGTTTATTTAACCAGTTCACTCTTCTCTCCTCCCACCCAGGCTGGGTTTTCCAACTGACAATCAACTCCCCCTAGCTTCTGAAGACAATTCATACACAGTCCTCAGTCTTCATGTACAGGGGTTTTCCTCCCTTGGGGTTCCTCCCCCCCTTTTTTTGGTACTTCCACATAGCCTGAGATTTGCCCAGGCATGCTGATACCTCCCTCTTGTTTCTCTATGGTCCACTTGTAGCTCCAGTCCCACTGGAGGACTTCCCTATCTTCTCTGAGGACTTCTTTGAGTTCACTATCAGAAGGCGTGATAATGGCTCTGCTGACTTTCACGTGTCACCAGTTAGGCAGCAGCATTTGGTACCAATGTGATGTTTCCAAGCTGCCTTCAAGGGCAGCCCCATGTGCAATGCTTTACAATACTGTAACCTTGACTACACTTGTACCATGGGAAATGAGAACTTCACAACATTGTCTCCAGGCTGTCGGAATGCTGTCATGCGCACAGCCTCAAGCACATATAGCAAGCTGAAATGAGCATATGATTCATCCCCATCTTGGCAGGCCATGTGTATGTATCAGAACTTGAGGGAGTCACCAAAAAAGCTATTAAAATCGAAAGAGAGGAAAATCACGTCATCCGCTGCCTTATGTTTGTTTGTTGAGGAAGAGGCCTAAAGAGCGCCTCTCTCCTCTCTCCTCCACTCCCAAACCTCTTATCTTCTCCGGTTTTATATATATTGTCCCGTCTAGACAGCAGAAACTGACTAGCATCCCTATATGTCAAGAATGTAGCGGTAAATCTTTCAGATAAATATAGCCGAGCAGTTAAAAGTAAAAATAAATGTCTAAAGCTCTCAACTTATTAGCAGCATCTGTCTCAGGCTTGATGTGCACTTCTCAGAAATATTCTAATACCTACTAGATCTATATTTAAGCAACCTTGTTGCTGCTCTGGTGATCACATGTCATAAACTATCTCTATATTGTTGATTTTGTTGCTAAGCCCCACTGTGAGTTCTGGTTTCCAGTGTTTCAGGTTACACATTTAAAAACAGGCCTTCCAACTGTTTCACACCCCACATTTAAAGATGATACGCAGGCAGCTCTTGCTATTGCTCAGCGGCCCACTCTGGCATTAGACAATTACAGCTGAGGGAGGAGCTAGGGTTACAAACTTGTCACACACTGGAGCTGCTAACTTTCCATCCCGGAAATCTCATTTGGAAGGAAGCTACAGACCAGGACGTGAGAGCAATGAATTATCGCACGCCTGCCCCAGATTCCTGGAAGGCTGCACCAATCTTCACAAGCTCTCCGGAAACAAAGAAACAAATCCTAGAAATCGCCCGTTCGCATGATTTCTGAATCAAAGAAAGTCACCACAGTGTTCTCATTTTGTGTGTGGTTAAAGTGAGTCTTGTGAACGCACCCTAGTGAGGTAAGTTACTAGCGTCTGGAAAAAAGTAATAGATATCCAATGTTCCGTGCAGCAATAACTTATCACATCACAGTAGTTTGCAATACAAGAGTAACATTTCAGGTTTAGGGGGTTGTGTGGATAGTGTCATTATCTGGTTTGGTCACTAGATGGCACTTTACTTTGTGGAATCTCAGTGAAGTCAGGAGTGTCCTGTTGCTGTTCTTGTTTGAGAAGACAATAAAGTTTTTGTCTAGCTTCCTGAAGAGTGTCTCCTAAGCCTTCCAGGACAGGTGTGGAAGAAGCAATCACAACAAGTTTAAAGTCTGCTGTTCCTGTGTATATATATATATATATATATATATATATATATATATATATATTGCTCAAAAGGCAGGGTATAGTTTAAAAGCATTTGCCATCCTTACTTAAAGAAAAATGCTTTGTGCTAAACCGAAGAATGTCCCTAAATAGTGGCTCTCTAGACTACTTTCCTACATGAGTGTTGAAGGAAACACTAATCTAGCGTTGATTGCTCTACCCTCCAAAAGTGGTGCACTTTAGCTCTGATATTTATTCATTTTAGGAATTTATACCCCACTCTTCACCAGAAGTCTCAAAACAACTTATACTATCTGCAGATATTAAAGTGATTCTGTGAAGTGCAGCCCCAAACAACACCAGTCATACCTTTCCTCCCAGATCAGCAGATTTCATCCCTGCAGCATTTCCATCTTACCTGGATTACATCTAAATATTAACATTTAAATGATTAATTAACTTTATCTGCTTACAGGTTTTATGTCCTGCCTGCCATCAATGACAGAGTGTTCAAAGCAGCTAACATGTTTGAATAATTTGACTATATAATACAGTCGTACCTTGTAAGTTGAATGCCTTGCGAGTCGAATGTTTTGGCTCTTGAACGCTGCAAACCTGGAAGTGAGTGTTCCGGTTTGTGAACGTTCTTTGGAACCCGAAAGTCTGATGGGGCTTCCGCGGCTTCTGATTGGTTGCAGGAGCTTCCTTCAGCCAATCGGAAGCTGCACCTTGGTTTCTGAACGTTTTGGAAGTCGAACGGACTTCCGGAATAGATTCTGTTTGACTTCCAAGGTACAACTGTATCAATTTTGAATTTTGAGGTGTGACTATTCAGTGGAAAATTCACAATTTCCCAAGCAGCTGCAGTTGGGCATGGGCTTGTTGTGTTTTGTTCGTTTGTTGTTGAGACACAAGAGGCAGTAATCCAGCAAGAATTTCACAAACCTGCAATTCAAATAAGTAGATGCAACTGGAAGGAAAACATGGTCAATTTACATAATTTTGGTATATGGTGATAGGCACTGGGATTGTTTAGTACAGCATGTGAAGCACATTGTCTGCGCAGCAGAAGTGAAGAATGATGGAAGAAAATAGGTACATTTGTTTTACATTAAGTGAACAAGGGGTTTATCACACGGCACTGAAAAAGCCATATGGACAAACCATTTCCACAGGGTATTGAGCTATGTCCTGCCAAGGAATTATTGCAAGATGGTCTTAAAACTATATGCTTTCCTTATTCTCTAGAAACGACATTTTCACATTTAGCGGTCTTAACTCTGCACAGTTTTATGCTACCCAATATTTCACTCTGAATATGCTAACATTTCTAGAATTTCAAAATGCAATGTACATTAGCAAAAGTGTGTGATCTTGTTCCAAGACACCCAGGCAGACAATATTATACTAACTAGCAAGGTATGATTGCAGGCAAGCTCTTGTATTCGGCTTCGTACATACTACCAGCTGGGAGACCTGCGATCCCATGGAGAGATCTGTGTGCATTCTGGTGACAGGTTTGGTTTGATACTGAGGCATAACACACATGGAAAGCAGGCAATCAGCTCCATCTAGAACTGCATGGAGCTGGCCAGTGACTCCTAAAGTTGGATGCTGGGCAATTATTGCCTAGTTCTGATGGAATTTGGCCTTACCATCAGCCTGACGAAGACCAATAGCTTGGGTCAGGACATCGCCAGCACTCCATGCATCAGTATTGGTGACCATATGCTAGAGGTGATAGACATTTTTGTCCACCTGGGTTCCACCACCGCCAAAATCTCTCCATTGATTCTGAGCTGGACAAATGTATTGACAAGGCAGCTGTGGCAATGGCTCACCTCTCCAAAAGGGTATGGGAGAATGTGATGCTAACGTCCAAGACCAAAACGAAGGTCTAGCAGGCTGCTTTATGGAAGTGAGCCTTGGGCAACTTACAACTGCAAAGAGTGACGCCGCAGTGCTTTCCACATTCATTTCAGCTCAGCCAAAAACAACTGCTTGCTTTTTAATATGCTTTTCTCCAAATGACATGAAGCAGAGATTTCCCATCCGACAAATGCTGTTCAACAGCATTTGTAAAATAGGCCTTTAGTGTAGTGGTCCCTAATCAAATCTTAAATTTCAGCATGTGAATGGTACACAAAAGGAGTGTTGGCTGGAAGTCTGAAATTAGAAGCCTTTTACAGTGTATATGTGGAAAGCACAGTTGTCTTCAGTCCCAAACAAATCTCTTATAAATGGATGTGATACGTGAGGGAAAGACAATCCTTTCTCTTTTTTACCTGTACTATAATAACAACATTGATACATGTTAAGGTCAGTGCTGCTGGCTAGGTTTTATTGTGCACTAATGCTGGATCTGTCTTTTTTTAGAGGACAGGAGGGGGAATTACTCTGAAATGGCACTTGATATGCTATATGGCATTGCAGATTTAGACAGTCTAATTGTAGAGCTGAAATCCAAAAAGGTCTTATCAAAGTGCTAAATCCCAAAGGACCCCTTTTCTCCCTACAGACAATAGCTGCAATTTTGCAAGCAGTAGAGTTGCTGAAACTTCTTAGGCCCTCAGTCCAGAAAAACACAACTGAAATCATCAAGACATCAGGAGATCACAGCTAATTTGTTCCCGTGACTCCAGTGGGACTTAAAAGCACAACTTCCTTGCTCGGGTTTGGGAATGCAGACTTGCAGCACTTCCATATCACCAGGGTTTTTTCCAGGTGGGACTCAGTGGCATACTGGTCAATGCAAGTTGTGGGATTAGAGTTAATTGGGAGGTCTTGTGCAACCAACTCCTTTCCTGGAAGAGGCTGCAATTAAAATTCTTGAGCATTTCGATAAGATTCAGCGGGAGATCAAGGGAAGGCACACCTGAACACCTGGATACCCTGCCAGCTACAAGGGGTTTTATCATGGGAAAGCTGCTCAAAGCCCATGAAACCCATGAAAAATGAAACTAGATATTGCATATCCTGCATTCAAAGATAACGGAATGCAACCAAGAAAGAACAGAGATTTAATGGGGAAGACTCATCCCACAATGGAAAAATTAAGAAACACTCATTTCCATTCTGGTCATTTTCACTGACAGTGTAGAATTGAATTTGGATTGGGGAGACCTGGGAGAATGTTAGCACCAGACTACCCAGCAAGCTCCCAGTGGGGAGCTGAGTTCCGCTCTCCCTTCTTATCCCCATTTATGGGCAGATTTATGCTGGTTTAACAATCATTCCATCTCCCCATGATACCTCTAGGGGTGGGCAATATTTTTTAAACTAGGGGAACATTCCATTCTGGGCAACTTTTGGGGGGTCATGTGCTAGTGGCAGACAGGATGAAGCCCGAATGGTTCAGATCAGGTCAGTTTGTCTTGGAATCTGCAAAGACTGACTTCCTCAAGCATCCATAGTTTAAAGCATGTTCTTATTGCTCATGGCCACAGCCAGTAGAAGATACACTGAACACAAGTCCCCAGCATTCAGTTTGTTATACAAATAAGATGATCTTCACACACATACCCAGCAGCATGGGAGTTGCTTCAGCAGGGTATGATCCCATGGCGCGGGGCTAACATTTGGTTGTCTCCGTGAGATGGCCACACACAAGCATGAAGCTCTCAGTAGCTCAGTGGTGCTGGCTTTGATCCTTGACATTTCCAGCCGGGTCTGGGAAAGACCATTGCTTGAAATCCTGGAGAGCTCATAGAATCATAGAATTGTAGATTTGGAAAGGACCCCGAGATTCATCTAGTCCAAGCCCTGCAATGCAGGAATCTCAACTAATGCATCCATGACAGATGGCTATCCAACCTCTGCTTAAAAACCTCCAAGGAAGGAGAGTCCACCACCTTCTAAGAGGGTCTATTCCACTGTCAAACAGCTCTTCCTGTTAGAAGGTTCTTCCTGATGTTTAGTTGGAATCTCCTTTTTGTAACCTTGAGCCTTTTGTTTGAATCCTACCCTCCAGAGCAGGAGAAAACAAGCTTGCTCCATCTTCCATGTGACAGCCCTTCAGATATTTTGAAGATGGCTGTCATATCTCCTCTCAGTCTCCTCTTTTCCAGGCTAAACATACCCAGTTCCTTCAACCGTTCCTCATAAGGCTTAGTTTCCAGACCCTTGATTGCCTGGGTCGCCCTACTCTGCATACATTCCAGCTTGTCAGCATCTTTCTTAAATTGTGGCGCCCAGAATTGGACACAGTAGTCGAGGTATGGTCTGACCAAGGCAGAATAGAGTGGTACTGCTAGTTCCCTTGATCGGGACACTATACAGTGGTACCTCGGGTTACATACGCTTCAGGTTACAGACTCCACTAACCCAGAAATAGTACCTCGGGTTAAGAACTTTGCTTCAGGATGAGAACAGAAATCGTGCTCTGGCGGCACGGCGGCAGCGGGAGACCCCATTAACTAAAATGGTGTTTCAGGCTAAGAACAGTTTCAGGTTAAGTACGGACTTCCGGAACGAATTAAGTACTTATCCCGAGGTACCATTGTACTTCTGTTGATGCATCCTAGAATAGCATTAGGTTGGTTTTTTTATGCTGCATCACACTGTTGACTCGTCTAAGTTTGTGGTCTACTGAGACCCCTAGATCCTTTTCACATGTATACAAGGTTTTCCCCATTTTATATTTGTGCAGCTGGTTGTTCCTGCCTAAATGTTCCTGTGATTTTGTTCCCCACCTCCTTCGAAGCTCAGGTCAGTTACTAAGTGTTGTTTAAAGGCTGTTTGTTTTCCACCCTCTTCAGCCAAAGGAGCTGTTTTTCAGCTGCACTTCTTCCTTTTCTATGGTTGTTTTTGGGTTCTGCCTGCTTTGGTTACTGCTGAGACCGGGTAATTAGCTGTCATCTTGTCAAGGAGCATGTTCATTTCAGCTTGCCATTCTTCATTTCACTCTGGGTTTGTTAATTTCACTCCTGTTGGCTTCAGCCTTTGCAGCCCCTGCCAGTTTGACAGCGGGACAGCTGCTTAAGGAAGGCACCAAGCAAAACTTGAAAGCTAGAAAGTGGTGTTTATTCAAAGATGGTATAAGACGGCATTTAGGCAAAGATGGCATGGAGTGCCACCTATGTGTGTTTTCTAAACCAGAACTGGAACTCAAGCAAAGCCATAAGTTGCCCTTCAAATTGGAACATGTATCTAAAAGTGGCCCAGGTAAAGAACCACAAGGAAGTATTGTATCGCCCCAAAATCAATATTGACTCGTTAGCACTATGGACTATGAGAACTAGCCTTTGTTTGGTGTTGCTACTTTTGGCTTATGGAGATATTTTTTTCATTGTTTGTTCCAATTGTCTGAAATACTTTGCATTTATGTACTGTGTACATGCCAAACTGTGTGCATTAGTGATCACGGAGAAAGACCATAAGGTCAAAATGCAGCTGGGTTTATTTTATTGAGTGATTTCGGGTTATGGTTGCTTGTAATTGTTTATGTTTGCAATATAAAATAATTTTAAATTACAGTTCTCGACATTTTCACACCAGTTTGCTTTCATGTTCCCATGAAAATCTATCAGCATTTTCACACGAATTTCTCCTAATGCACACATTTTTGTATGCAAGCTTGTCCAACATACACATTTTAATGGGTATTAGCTGTCAGTCCTGCATTTCCAGGGGTTGGACTAGATGAATCTTGTGGTCTCTACAATTCTATGAATCTGCTTCATTTTTGCAGAGCATTTCCTCCTAATATACTATGTACATGTTCACTAATAAATGTATTTTTCTGCAGCTTAAAAATATGTTGTAAGCCACTTTGAATCCCAATTTGGAAGAAAGGTGGACTATGAATATATTAAGTCAATTAAAAAAAAATTTAGTGTTGTTGTTGTGGTTGTTGTTGTTTTTTTAAAAAACTTAACAACTTTCAGGGTGTCCTGGTTGTTTATTTTTGAAATATAGCAACCCTAGCATATACATTTTTGTACATATGATTGGCTATAGAACTGCATTGCAATATTCAGAGAACTGTGAATTTTCAAGGTTCGTTGTGTTCTGGTTCACATATTATTTCAGAAAGTGTGAATGAATTGAAGTGTTTCCCCCCCCTGTATTTCAAATGTACTTCAACTCTGAAAATGCTGAGATACCTACCTTTATCATAAACATTTAAGTCAGCTGTCTCTCTTTCTGTGTGTGACAATGGCCTCATTTATACAAAATGCTGTTATGGTTTAGCATTTCGAGGATGAGCTGAAGTGAGCCTTCGACTCCTGTCCTTCTCCCTCCTGCATGGGAATCTGAGAGTTTGGAAGATTTCCCTTCAGTTTTAAATTAACCACAATTTGTTGTTATGTCTGAGCCTGGCCAATTTTTGGTTATTGTTAACCATGGTTTTTTGAAGCAAGCCCGCTTACAAACCTGGCTTGTTTCAACAGACCATAGTTAAGGTTAACAAAAAAAAATCAATCAATCAATAAATAAATATGGGTAAGTGAAGCTTTCAAACTCTTCCTTGTGACCATGCTGGAAAAGGAGAAGGGAGCGTGTTAGCTGCAGCAACTGTCATAATGCTAAACCATGGTTTAGCAGTACAGTGGTACCTCGGGTTAAGTACTTAATTCATTCCAGAGGTCCGTTCTTAATCTGAAACTGTTCTCAACCTGAAGCACCACTTTAGCTAATGGGGCCTCCTGCTGCCACCGTGCCACTGGAGCATGATTTTTGTTCTCATCCTGAAGCAAAGTTCTTAACCTGAAGCACTATTTCTGGGTTAGCGGAGTCTGTAACCTGAAGCGTATGTAACCTGAAGCGTATGTAACCCGAGGTACCACTGTACATGTGAACACAGCTAATGTGTCTGATTGCTGCTACCTACAAAAAATGGTCCAGTTGCCAGGGCTAGCATGGCAACAGTATTCTAAAACACAGACTGAGCATGGAAAGACAGGTGAAATAATTTTGTACCAGATTCTGGCTTCATTTTCCTGGGAGACGTTTTGGAAACAGGCCGTTTGCCTCTACAGCTCTCTAGACTTAACAGCTCAAGCACAACTGCCCAGTGTCACCGTCAGGAAAAGTTGTTAACTGCGCTTTGCCTGTTTTCTTACTGAGATAAAACCTTAAGTGTGGTTGCAGGTGTTGAAAGGTGTGATACCATGCAGGGAGCTTGCTTGGAATACAATGGGGTTGGTATAGTCTCGTATTTCTGGCAGCTGTCACTTGCCGGGCTTTCTAAGAATGACTGCAAACACAGAGAACAATTCATTAATATAAATGTAAATGCAATCTTGGCAGCCCTGTTTGATCACGGCTATAAAAGGAAAAAAGCAAACCTTCAGATTTCAAGATAACGGGTTCATTTGCATGACCAGTTTTAGGCAACAAGTGGTGGCAAAGACACCACAAGATTCATTGTTTTTAAAATATAGGCCTTGTTGGCAGCCAATTGCCCACTGCCAGTATCATGGCCTTCTTAGTTACTATTTATTGGTTCAGTCCAGATTTCATGTATTTCGCCCCCCTTTGGTGAGGCTTGCATGTGGTTACGTTTCCTACTTTCCCCCCTTTTTAATGGCTCCTTAGCCAGTTATTTACCCCCAAACAAGGAAAAGCTTCTAATTCTGGAATCCTGAAACTTCCCTGTAATCCGTTTTCATTTTTTAAAAAAGCAATTTCATGAGATAGTTAAATGACCCCCTTCATATATTCAGTGAGTGGGGTGGTTGGTGGTGGGTATATAATGAGTAATGGATCTAAGTGGGATGATTTAGAAAGGGAACAGTATGTTGTATGGATTCAGCTCCCAGAATCCATGACTATAGCCCATGCTAGCTGGGACTGATGGGAGATGGAGTAAAAAGAAAACTACCTGGAAGGCCTCATATTAGTTATCCCTGCAGTAGTGGCAAGCAGGGATTTTTCCTCCCTCTGGTCCTTGGAGGAAAGCAAACCTTGGCAGCCCATTCTGTTGTCCAGTTTTCTGAACTGTTAATTTAATACCTCAGTTAACCAGCTTCTGGGTTTATTGTACCCTCCCCCCAAAAAGAAAAACACACATGACCCATTTGAACGCCAGCTCTGTGGTTTATAACATTGAAAGAGTGAAGTCGCTGTCAAGGGGCTAATAAAGCTCCCACTAAACTTATGACAGACCGGGATGTGACATTGGGGCCTCGTGACACACTTTTGGGTTGTGATGGGGTGGCGTGGAGAGCAAATTTTTCAGAAACATTTTGGAAATATTGTTTGGTTGTGTAGCTGAGTGCTGACGCAGCATCAGATAGGAAATCAAAGAGCAAACAATTCAGACGAGGGAAAGCTCAGTGTTTCTCTACAGGCGGGGTGAGGCAAAGTTCCTCAGGAGAGTGAGTGGCAGTTTGCCAGGGCGGGGAGCCTCTGGGCAATACAAACACAGCCATCCGGACCGGCCAGTTCCTGGGTTTAGACTGGCTGTCAAAAAGGAAGGAAAGCAGTTTATAGGAACTCCATAGAATGCGAGTGAGAGAGGAAACTTCGAATATGCCACAGCGCCTGAAATCTCGACATATCAGTCCATAGGACGAAAGCAATCTGGTGTTTTCTTAATGTGTATATTATTTAGGTGTGCAGTTTCACTAATCTATGGAGAGCTGGGAGCTTCTCCCAGGCCTACCATTAAGCAGGACTAGAAATGGTTTTTATCACCATGGGGGAGGGGGCGCTTGTGAGAAGTCATTCTCTTAGCATGGCAGAATCAATTCTCTTGTACTGTTTATGACTCCTGCTAAAGTTGGGGTTTAGGTAAACCTGCCTTCACCTTTATTTTTATTCTGAACCTGGCTCGCTAGTCCAACACTCGAATCACTGAGGTACTCTGCTTGCTGATATTCAAATTGTGCAGGATATGCATGACTACAGATGTTCATTCTTGTAAGACGCATAAGCAACATTTCAAACTTATTTTCTGGGTATACGTTCTGTCATTTTCATACGGGGGTCGATTCAGATGCCTCCCCACGTGAAACTGATTTGCTGCGCTCACCACAGAAGGACTGGGCCACATTAAAGACACCACATCAAAATGTACGTGCATGAATAGTCCAAAGACAGCAGAAAAGTCTCCTAAGCTTGTTATTCCTTGCTTTCACTTGCATTAAGAACCTTTCCAGATGATTTTTCTTCCAGAAAAACCCAGAACACCTAGATTTTATCCTTAGCACTATGTTTACATAACCTTAGTGCTATCCAGTACCAGTAATGCAATACTTTGCTAGTGTGATTAAATGTGTCTCGGTCACATGGAAACTTGGAGAAGAACCCACACTTAATTGTTTTGGTGGCAATCGCTTTTCTGCTGTAATAAGAAATGGGCCTGTGAGAAATATTATGAGGTCGAGGAGTCAGGAAAAGCCTTTATTCCTGTTTTCTTATGTGAATACGATAAGACTAGTGTCTAGCCTTTCCACTCCCAGAGTGTTCCAGAATATTGGTGACAGACTCTCCAAGTGCCCCTATTTTCCAGGGACAGTCCTGGATTTATGGAAGCCATCCTGGTTTTTGATTTGCTCCACAAATGTTCTGATTTTCCTTAGGAGGTCTCTATTTTCATTGGAGAAATGTTGGAGGGTATGGAGTTATGTGACTCCCCAAGCCAAGGAGATAAGTAACTATACAACCTCTAGAAGACATCTGAAGGCAGACCTGTATAGGGAAATTTTTTAACGTTTAACATTTTATTATGTATTTATGTATGTTGGAAGCCAAGATGGGTGGAAATAATCATAATCATAATCATAATTGAATAAAAAGGTAACGGGATCCCTGACCATTAGGTCCAGTTGTGGCCGACTCTGGGGTTGCGGCGCTCATCTCGCTTTATTGGCTGAGGGAGCCGGCATACAGCTTCCGGGTCATGTGGCCAGCATGACTAAGCCGCTTCTGGCGAACCAAAGCAGCACATGGAAACACCGTTTACCTTCCTGCCGAAGCGGTACATATTTATCTACTTGCACTTTGAGGTGCTTTCGAACTGCTAGGTTGGCAGGAGCAGGGAGCGAGCAACGGGAGCTCACCCCATCGTGGGGATTTGAACCGTCGACCTTCTGATCGGCAAGTCCTAGGCTCTGTAGTTTAACCCACAGCACCACCCGCGTCATTATTGAATAGGACATCCCTATTTTCATCGGATAAATGTAGAAGGGTATGTAGTGGTCATCATGACAAGTCTTGTTGATTTAAACATCATGCATATGGTGAATGCATATAGAGAGAACAGGATCATTCTGCTGTTCACTCAGTCAACTGTACCGTCTCCTGTATATATGATTTGTAGAGTCTGTATGCATTTAGAAATTGTATAGGCCAAGGGTGGAGGAACACACAGAGAAGGACCTCATTTGACGATCTGAGAGTCTTGGCCAGGGTTTCCCAAACTTGGGTCTCCAACTGTTTTTGGACTACAACTCCCATCATCCCTAGCTAGCAAGACTAGTGGTCAGGGATTATTGGAATTGTAGTCCAAAACAGCTGGAGGCCCAAGCTTGGGAAACCCTGATCTAGGCCAAATCCTGCCAATGCAGGAAATAAGGTGAATGCATGTGGAGATAGCAGGAAATTCACGAGCACCGCATCGTAATAGGGCACCATCTTCCAAGACAACATTTGCTGCTGCTCTGTGGAACAGCTTGTACCATTAGGAAATTCTTCTTCAAGTTTACTCCAGATATATAATATTTTGTTTTATGTTCCAGATTCCATGTGGTGAACCATTCTGTGCTCCTATCCTGGAGGAATGGTGCAGTCTAGAAATGACATAATAAACAAGCATAACAGAGAAATTTTAGAAACAGCTCCCTTGGCTGCTTCTGTCTACCCCCCATCCCTCACAATTCTTCTAATAAATTTGTAGGTTTGGGCAAAAGTTATAAAGGGATGGAGAAAGGAAACTGATACTCTAGAAGGCTAGTCCAGAATTCACTCAGGAGTGACTAAGGGAATTCTGAGGCATTAGTTCTTGAGCCATTTCTGATGGGTTTCGCTATCGCTAGTGGGAAGACTTTTCAGAGGGCAGCATGGTTCAGAAGGATTTGTTGAAAGTTCCACTTTCTACCCTACAGATGTGCCCTTCAGGATAGCAAATGAATCCTAAAGTGCTGCTGTGTGGTCAGTGATACAGGGCCTCTGTTAATCATTCAGGGTTTCTTTCCAAAAACGTTGAAACCAAGCAAGGGAAACTTTTCTTCCCAACAGTTTGTTCAGATTTGGAATTACAATCGGTTTTATTGTGAAAATGAAAGCACTTTTTACATTCACCCTATATATTATATAACCAAATCACTCCGCCATACCAAGGACTTTTGAAGACAAGCTTCCTTGCCCAGTCCCTCAACAACAAGAGCTAATTCCTTGATGTGAAAACAATCAAAGGATGAGCTCATTTCCGATTTCACATATGACGCCAAACATTTCTCTCTCTCTCTCGTAAACAAGATACGCTGGCAGAACCTCCTCCTCTTTGCCTGCTGTTTATTAACCGAGAAACAGGCCATTGATTCTTATCAAGCCTATCTGGCCAAATGAACTGCATATTTCAGAATGGAAGACCTGTATAAACTAGCTGGCTGCTTCCATCCGAGCAGCTAAGAGCATTCTCCAACTTCATCTGGAAATGGGTCCCTCGCATACAGCCCTGATAATGACAGGAAGAAGGGCATGGAATCCCAGACTGAAAATTGCCACTGCCAGAGCCAGGACTGAAAGAAACTTTTCAGCCGGGAGCTCATATTTCTAGAGGATGAAGCATAGATTGTGGCAGCACACAGTTATGCCACCGGGACTTTTCCAATTAGGATGGATGGCTGTGTTGTCTGATAAATTACATTGCTTCTAATTATAACCCCTTCCCTTAAGAGTGTTGAAAATCTAAACTGGAAGAAGACTGCACAAGTTCCTTATAGGATTAAGCGATTTAAAGAGGGATAAATAGGGATAAACTGCTGAATGCCCATAGACTTGTCAACCTTGGTCCCATTTTTTCCCCAGGGAGCAGGAGAGAGGGGAGGTCAGACGGGCACCATAATGCTTGCTGGTTTGATTTTGGACATTGCCACTTTTAATATTTTCTCTAATTTGACATCGGCAGAAGAACCCAGTGGATTAGCCGCTGTCTTGCTTCTTAAATCAACTCCTTAAATCTCACATTGCCTGCGCTGATTATTCTCATGCTGGGAGTACCGTATTTTTTGCTCTATAAGACGCACTTTCCCCCTCCTAAAAAGTAAGGGGGAATGTGTGTGTGTCTTACGGAGCGAATGCAGGCGAGAGGCTCTGTCAGCGCTCCCTTTAAAGAGACGCGTGGAGCGTGTGTGTGGCTCTTGGGAGCTTTTCCTGAGGAGGAATAATCAATAAAGCAATAAGCAATAAAGCAATAATCAATGTACTGGACTATAAAATAAATAAGACAGATGATTAATTTTTAAAAAAAATTTTTTTTTTTACCTGCACTGATAGTCATTGTTTGGATGGGGGGCTTTTATCCATTTCCGCAGTCACACAATCAATCAACCAACCAACCAACCAACCAACCAGTAGCTGAACTGGGTTCCACAGTCACAAAAACCAACTAACCGAAAAAGCCTCAAAAACAAAAAAGCAAAATAAATAGCAAAAACAAAAGCGCCAAACTTAATCCGTTCCGGAAGTCCATTTGACTTCCAAAAGGTTCAAAAACCAAGGCACAGCTTCTGATTGGTGCAGGCGCCCCAGAAACAATAGCCGACAGCCACATCAGACGTTTGGCTTCTGAAAAACATTTGAAAACTGGAGCACTTACTTCTGGGTATTGGCGTTTGGGAACCAAGGCGTTTGAGAACCAAGGTACTGTACCGCTGTAGAGATTCCAAAGGGTTAGATGCCACCACAATAAGGGCTTGGTTCCTATACATATTGTATGGACCCGAATGAAGAGAAATGAAGTTTGCAGCTCAGCCAGCAGATCTGACCTGGAACATTTTCCAAGGGCTGACCCCTTCTGGTCTTTTGGTATAAGGAGCCTTCCTTGGTTAGAATCTCGGCAGTTCTCTTCTTTGGTTGGAGCTGGGTAGCAGAATGTTGACTAGGTCCCTACTTGACATCCACTGTGCTTTTGAGTCTGGCAGCCATCTTAAAATCTCTCCTCCCTTTCCATTGCACACCTTAACTTCTTTTAGATTTTTGTGTGTGTGTCCAAGCTTTATGAGAATGCCATCTGTTAAATAACATAGTATGTTATATAAAACCTTGGCTTCAATACCTCAGTGTTACGCATCACTATGTGAAGCTCTATAATACAGGACAATACTTGATACAAATTCCTGAGCTTTTGCTTTTCGTGAAACTCCCCAACCCAGATCTATGGCCCCTCCAGACTGTATGGTTTATTTTTTGAGGGGGTGGGGGAGCAGGTGGGTGTCTTCTGCAACATGTCATTGATACAGTAACAGTGCATTCACAATGGATTTACACTGGATGGTCCACACATTATTCTACTTTATTAGTTGTTCCACAATGCTCCCTCAATGTTACCACTTTATTGTTTGCTGCCTGAAGGACCACTCTTGTGCTATAGCACAACGAAAGCAAGAACCCCCCTACCCCGCCCTTGAATGCTTTGTGGTATGAAAAATTTCAGCCGGAAGCTACAGGGCATGCACCAGTCAGAAACAAAACAGTATGTCTGCCTGAAATCTTTGGCTACCACAAACAGTATGGAAAACGGGATCTCATATAAACACCCTGATACCAACAGGAGCACAAGTAATCATCAGTGATAATTAAAAAGGCCATTTGAAACACACGTTCACACTTAATTCTGACCTGAATGTAACTTAAACTCTTCCACCTTACAGCATGTTCTTGTCGCTGTTGAAATTATAGCACAGAATGACAGCCTAAAGTTCCATATTTCTAAATGGTTTTCCCCATCAGCAGGGAAGGAGACAAATCAGCTTTCCAGGGGAAATAATTGGACACTCGCATGTGGTCACCAGCACCATCTCAGAGGGAGCCTGAATGTGCAACAGTTGTGCGTTTGCATGTGTGAAAGCATTTCAAATGTGCGCACATTTCTGGTGACGATCTGAGTTATCTGACAGTCTCACATTGGAGGAAATGCATGTCCATGATTCTGCCTTGCAAATTGTGTCCTGTTGCATACTGTGAAAAGAAAAAAAAAAGTGATGAGAATATATTTTAACCTTCCTCAGCCTCAAGGGGAGCCAAACAAAGGGGGGGGGGAGTCAAATAAGCAAATTGCCTTAAAACCCTCCTGTTCTTAGCTGTGAATAGCACTGTGTTGATGGGATTTTATTTTAAAGGCCTTGGAGAAAATAATAAAAATGTATAATGAGACAGATGCTGGAGAGTGTCACTGACAAACTCCATCTTCTCTTAGAAATTTCCTCATCGTTAAGCCAAAGTTAACAAGAGTTGCTAGTGATACGTTGAAATCAGTGGAACTCAGAATGCAGTTCTTTGCTTTGTTTTAACTGTGCAGAGGACTGTGGTAAAAAAGAAGTCAGATTTTGTGCACGGTTGGCCTCATTTTTTAAAGAAACTTTCAGTGTTTCCATTCTTTATTCAGATCTCATCCCTGCATATCTTGCCCCAAGCAAGGAAGTGAGCCAGTGTTGCACTTTTAAAAAATTATAAAGTCACCTTCCTTTGAAAAACAACCTGAATTGTAGAGTTGAGCCCTAGTTCAGCTCCCTGCTTTTGCAGACCCTCCAAGTATCTCTATTTTCCAGGGACATCCTGATTTAGAGAAGCCGTCCTGTTTTCTGATTTGCTCCCACTTTTCTTTAGGGTGCCCCTATTTTCTTTGGAAGGGACACGGGTGGCACTGTGGGTTAAACCACAGAGCCTAGGACTTGCTGATCAGAGGGTTGGTGGTTTGAATCCCCATGATGGTGAGCTCCCGTTGCTCGGTCCCTGCTCCTTCCAACCTAGCAGTTCGAAAGCACCTCAAAGTGCAAGTAGATAAATAGGTACCGCTCCGGCGGGAAGGCAAACGGTGTTTCTGTGTGCTGCTCTGGTTCACCAGAAGTGGCTTAGTCATGCTGGCCACATGACCCGGAAGCTGTACGCCGGCTCCCTCGGCCAATAAAGCGAGATGAGTGCTAGATGTGAGATGACATCGCGTCTGCACATGCGCAGATGCCGGAAATCACGTCTGCACAGATGCTGACGCCAGAAATCGCAGGTGTGCGCGATCCGGCCCACGGAGGGATCTCCGCTGGAGTGAACCAGCCTAGGCGGGGTAAACTTTGCCAACCCCTGGTCTGGAGTTATGCAACCCTGAGCCGTCTGAAGGTAATCCTGTATAGGGAAGTTTTTTTATGTTTAATGTTTTATTATGTTTTTATATATGTTGGAAGCTGCCCAGAGTGCTGGGGCAACCCGATAAGATGTGTGGGGTATAAATAGAAAAATTATCATTATGGAATGGGACGTCTCTATTTTCACCGGAGAAATGTTGGAGGGTATGCTTTTGATGTCTGAAACATACTGACTGGGGCGAACCTTGCCATTATTAGCCATGAGGGTATATGGTTGTTTTTAGATGTGTTGAAATATGTGTGTGTTTGTAAATCCATAAGCAGAGTTTGGAGTGCATAGGGTGCTAGGAGAGGAGTAGTACCTTGAGTCAAGCGGGTGGCGGGTCCTCGAATCACAACTGCAACCAAGCTGGTGCCAAACATATTGCTCTGTTTTCCTTTGGACCACATCAGGGAGACGTAGAGGGGAGTCTTGTCATCTGGGCATCTCAGGGTCTCCATATACACCAAAATGCCACCCCCCACTGCAACTCCTCCCTCTAATCTTCCAAGTTGCTTTAACCTGCAGTAGGAAAAAGAGATGGGGGATTTATTTTTTATTTATTTTATACCAGAGCCAGGGTGTATCCACAGCCTTTCTCAACCTGTGGGTCTCCAGATGTTGCTGAACTACAACTCCTATCACGCCTAGCTAGCAAGGCCAGAGCTCAGGAATGATGGGAGTTGTAGTCCAACAACATCTGGGGACCCAAGGGGTTGAAAACCGCTGGAAGGAATTTGGTGATGCATAGTTCTACCCTGAGACATATGTTTTTAAAATATATATGTTGGCGGTGGCGGGGGGACAGGGAGAAAGAGAGAGAGGTTTGCATGAGAATATTTTTTTAAATGCTTCCATATGTAGTAAAGGATGAATTTCCGGTGTTTGAGAAAACAAATATTTGCAATTTCTTTGTTTTGGTTCATTATATCTGTTTAAATTCTTCCTGCAGCATGCTATGGAGCAGAAAACATCCCGGACGTAGGTCACTGAATGCAAAGGAGTTTTTGTTGTTGGCTTTGGTGATACTTGTGAAGTACTGAGCACTGTACTGAGCACTGAAAGTTTGTAAAGAACATTTTCCACTGCCACCCCTGGCCTCCAGCTGTCTGTAGAAACTGGAGTTCCTCCATGTGTTCAACATTTCCCTTCCCCCAACCCCTGCTGTCTGAGTGGAGATGTCCTACCGACAAGAAGGGAGCTGTGTTTTGTTTTCTCATCACCTCATAAACCATGGGGTGTGAGGACGGAGTTTGGATGTTCGGTAATACTTGTCACAGAACAAACTCCAAAGGGATGATAGTTTCATTCTCTGGCCCACAAAGGACAGTTGCAAGGCATAGATAGATAGATAGAGAGAGAGAGAGAGAGAGAGAGAGAGAGAGAGAGAGATAGATGATAGATAGATAGATAGATAGATAGATAGATAGATAGATAGATAGATAGATAGATAGATGATAGATGATAGATAGATAGATAGATAGATAGATGATAGATAGATAGATGATAGATAGATAGATGATAGATAGATAGATGATAGATAGATATAGATAGATAGATAGATAGATAGATAGATAGATAGATAGATAGATAGAGATAGATAGATGATAGATAGATTAGATAGATGATAGAAACATTCCAATAGAGAACTTCACTTAGCATGCTTTCAGGTGATAGAGTGGGCTGTATTTCTTCATACTGCAGTTGAGGAGGGGGTGGTCACATATGTGAATGCTCACCTGCCCTACAAACTCTCAAAAAGGCTCATAGAACACCTCACCTCAAGACGGAGATTGCAGTGCAGGGAAAGGTGCAGAAAAGGGCAAGCAAAACGATGAAGGAGCTGGAGCAATGAAGAAAGATTCTCAAATTTGGGGCTAATGAGAGAACATTATTGAGGTTTCTAAAATTATGCATGTCCAGATAAAGTGGATAAAGTGTTTGTGGGAGTGCGCACAATCTCCATAATCATGACCAGGAGGAACTAGCTGACTTTCCATGATATACGGTTGCCAGAGGTGGTTGTTTCTCTAAATTTGTGTTATGCCACACTTCCCATGGCAGCCATTTTGTGTTATGCCACTCCCCCTCCATGGTAGCCATTTTGTGAATTTTGTGACATTGCCCGAGCACGTGCTCTAAATTTGAAATGTGCCAACTGGTCCAAAAAGCTTAGCGACCTTGGCGGTATTCAGTTGATCAACTGTGCCATCTAAGCTATTTTGCTTTTCACTCTGTCCATAAGGTTAAAGGTAAAGGACCCCTGGATGGTTAAGCCCAATCAAAGGCGACTATGGGGTTGCGGCGCTCATCTCGCTTCAGGCTGAGGGAGCCAACTTTCCGGGTCATACGGCCAGCATGACTAAACCACTTCTGGCACAAAGGGACACAGTTACGAGTGCCAGAGAGCATGGAAACACCATTTACCTTCCTGCTGCAGTGGTACCTATTTATCTACTTGCACTGGTGTGCTTTCAAACGGCTAGGTTGGCTGAAGCTAGGGCAGAGCAACGGGAGCTCACCACTGTTGAGCGGATTCAAACTGTCAATCTTACGATCAGCAAGCCCAAGAGGCTCAGTGGTTTAGACCACAGCGCCACCCATGTCCAACTCTGTCCATATCTATCTATCTATCTATCTATCTATCTAGCTGAAGAACTGCGAAAGATATAATTTTTAATGCTCTTAAAACAGTAATTTCAGGACTCTAGTCCACAAATCACTTAAGGCAATTAATTTCTACTTAATTGGCTTTATCCCTGTGGATTCTAATGGAGCAAGACACTTTAGCCGCACGTTTCTTGGCTTAAGTAGCTTGTGGATCTTTGCCATAATCTGTAAAACCATTAAAAAATTGAATGGATTTATTCATAGTATAGGGATCATTTTTCACCCTCTCCCCTCATAAACCTCCATATGCCTGAACCATTTTGTTGCTTTTAATCTTAGCAGAAGTTTTTACTTGTAACTTATAATTTATTGTAACATCTTTCTTTAAAAAAAAATGGTTTTAAAAAGGAAGGATCAAGGGGGATGGGGGGGGAGCCCCAAGTGTATTGCAGACTCCAGAAAATGTCTCATTGTTTCTTAAATATAAAGTACCCATCTTCTGCCCCCTTGATGATAACTGGCATGTTTGAATCAGGCTACACTATAGGTCACAACACTGTGCTGAATGATTAATAATAATAATAAATATTTGCTAGGCGCTTTAAGTCATTAATTCATCATTTGGGCCAATAACAAACCAGCAAAAAAGACATTAATATTCCCAATTAATAAAAGGCTAATTGAAGATGAATTATAACGATGCGCTCAATGCCACCTAATAAATTTAGTTTCTTGGGAGAAATGATCATCAGGCTTGGGTGAAAAGGCAATAAATGATGATTAAGTCATTGTGGGACAGCCAGCAAGGACTCAGCTGTCTAAGTTTATTACAGCAGGGATCCTCAACCTGGGAATTGTAGCTCCATTGTGGGAGTAGGGGGTTTCCTAACATTTTCCAGCTGCAGCTCCCAGAATCCTTTTGGGGAAGCCGTGACTCTGTTAAGTGAAAGAATAGTGCTTTAAATGTATGGTGTGACTCAGTTTTAAATCAGGGTTCCCCAAAGTTAGGTCTCCAGCTGTTTTCAGATTGCAACTCCCATCATCCCTAGCTAGCAGGACCCAGTGGTCAGGGATGATGGGAATTGTAGTCCAAAAGCAGCTGAAGACCCAAGTCTGGGAAAGCCTGGTTTAGATGACCTCTTGGCCCAATCCAGCAGAGCTGGGTGCAGTCCTATGTTCACTATTTTACACAACATGTTTATTGCCACATTTTTTTTAAAAAAAAATCTACCCTGAGCCTTTGAGATGTGACAAGTCCCACCTTTAAAGAAATAAATCTACCTCTCTTTGTCCATCAGCACTGAAACAGTGGTAAGCAGTAAACCTAATAGCCTATTCAGCCATATATATATATATATATATATATATATATATATATCCCAAGAGTTCCCTCCTCTTGCTACTCCCAGCTTTTCTTTTGCTCGGTGCTTTCCAGCTTCTCGGATAGCTGGGGGGGCTGGGCAGGCGAGCTGGGAAATTGTTTACAATATTTTCACATGATGGCGATGGCAGAGTTCTCGCACTCTCTGAAAGGCCTTCTGTTTTCGGATGGCATTGAAAGTTTACCGTCTTCCCAGACAAAAGGAAGGGAGGCCGTTGCCAGCGGATGAGTAATGGGCATGGCCTCAGCACAATGCCCTCCTATCCAGGCCTAAATCTACATGGTGTTCTAAGGCTTCCCTCCTTCTCCAAAGCAACCATTGTCTGGCCTCCGGGAGACCGAGGCCACTCATTGGATGTGGGGAAGCAGCCAAAAAAATGGTGTGTGGGGAGGAGGAGGAGGAGGGGGAAATCTCTCTGACAACAACAGTTGCTCAGTGCCCCCACTATCTGCCTCTTTGCTCTTCTGCTACGGTCCTTGGAAAATTTTCCGTCCTGGGCATGGTTTTTATATACCGATAAGTTGCAGACCATCTGTGGTACACCTAGTTCCCAAAGATTATAGAAACTAAGTTTAAGTGTTTTGTTTCTTTTCTTTTTCTTCCTTTATCTGCTTATGCTGATGAAGTGTTCTGGGAGGAGTGATAAAAGCAAAAAGAGAGAGCTTTATTTAGTGTATTTAACAGCGGGAAATGAAAGTCCCTGTCTTTATTTCCCCATTTGCAGAAAGGGAGGGTTGCTTTTAAACCTTCATTATTATTACAGTCATACCTTGGGTTGAAGTAGCTTCGGGATAACTATCTTTGGGTTGCGTGCTGCGGCGACCCAGAAGTAATGGAGCACGTTACTTCTGGGTTTTGCCGCTTGCGCATGCGCAGACGGTCAAAATGACGTCATGCGCATGCTTAGAAGTGGCAAATCGCGACATGCGCAGGCATGGGTTTCGTTCGCTTCTGGATGCGAACGGGGCTCCGGAACGGATCCTGTTTGCATCCAGAGGTACCACTGTACTTTTAAAAAAAAATTAATCCTCTATTTGAATGCATGTTTACATCCGCATAGTTTAGACAACTCAGATCATTATTACTCCCTTCCTCTGTGTCATTCTAAGCTCTGAGTTACTGAGAAGGGCAAATAATTATAATAATCATAGTATCAGTTCAGCTTTCAGTCTTTCTCTTTCAACTGAAACTATTTGGAAAATCATCCAAATATATTTCTTGGCCCACTCACTTGCCACAACGCAGGATCGAGCAACTGAGGAGCAATTCTGAGGCTTTCACAATGCATTTGCTAAGTGTGGCAAAATAAAAATAATATTGAATGCCCTTGAATGTTCAAGCTAATGAATGCCAGCATCAAGTCCTGATTCTTTCCTACTAATTTAATTTGCTCAAACATTGTGTTATTGTGCATCAGCAGAACAAAAAGCTGGGAGATATTTTTTCCCCAGTAGAAGCTGCTTGCTGCATGTTATCAGTAGATAAAACCACTTTTAACTTAGAGTTCTGGCCATCTTTGGTACAACCAATATGTTAAAAACTGTTTTTGAAAACTATTTGCCAGATGCATCTAGTTAAGTTTAAATCATCCGTTTCAATCTCAAAACTTCTCTTCCTTCCATTCCTTCGAAGGAGGGAAAAAAAAAAGGGAGTTAAATGTTTAAAACTCCATTAGAATAGTTTGGCATTGTTCCCTGTCCTGAATAGCATGTCAGCTGAAACACATTGCTAAAGCAAACGAAAAGACAGTTTGAAAGAGCATGACCATACAGAATTTCCCTGTGGTTGCTCTTAAAGAAGCCTTGCTCCCTCGCCACCCCCTTTTCTTTTTAAACGTTTGAGATACTTTGCATAAGTCATTGCAACTGAAGCATTGGCCAGTACATGTCCCATTGAGCACATGGGACAATTGCACAAAACTACAATTGTGCAGTCATTTTGTACCATTCCCATCTGCGCAACACTATTTATTTATTTATCTTGAAAAAGCATAACCTGCTTGATGAGAAAAAAAAATGTGGATAGAATCCAACTGCATCCCATAAACCTATTAAAAACAAATATGCATAACACCGTCGTTGTTAAAAACAAAGATAAAATCAATAAAACTTTGAAACAAATACAGGTAACTAAATCATAAGAAAAATGTTTGGCAGATATCTAAAACAATATAGTAAGGGCACCAGCCTAATGTCAATAGCCAGGGAGTTCCATAGTACAATTAGGGATGGAGGAGAAATTCTCTTCAGTTTGCATTTAATGCAGATTTTATCAATTTTGCACTTTCTGAATCAAATAATCAATCAACGTGAGAACCCAAACACATCCATCCATTGAAATTCGCGCTTATCCCAAAACAGCTGCAGAGTTCCCCAACCAAGCAATGTTTCCAAAAATGTATATAGTTGGGGAAAATATGTGTAAAAATCAACATATTAGGGGAAATAATGTACCAACATATATTGCATTCAGATAAATTGTTTGCAAAAATCTGTGCATTAATCAAAATTGCCTGCAAAAAAAATGTGTCTGTTAGGAGGAATTTGCACTCAAAGGTTGAAGAATTTTCATGAGGATTTTTTTTTAAAAAAAAATCACTAATGTGGGGAACCAAATTTAAGACTGGAAAAACGAGAAACCGAGAGAACCAACTTTTATAGGTCCTTCTATCCCTGTCCCAACACACAGAGATCCGAGAGAAGCCCATGCATGCACAGGGACATTGGAAGCAGGGTTTGTCCTGTTCCTCTGCACTTTTAAGCCACATGTGCACAGGCAGATATCTGAAGAGGGCCAGAGTTGGAAGAACCTCAAAGGACATGTAGTCCAACCCCCTTGCAGTTTCAGGGAATGTGCTCCTACAGCGTCCCTAATCAGTGGCCGTCCAGCCTCTGCTTAAAAACCTCTAATGATAGTGAGGCAGGTAGCTTGGGTGTCAGAATCCCTGTTTAGGGAAGCTTTTAATGTTTAATAGACTACAGTGGTACCTCGGGTTACATACGCTTCAGGTCACATACGCTTCAGGTTACAGACTCCGCTAACCCAGAAATAGCGCTTCAGGTTAAGAACTTTGCTTCAGGATGAGAACAGAAATCATGCTCCGGCGGCGCAACAGCAGCAGGAGGCCCCATTAGCTAAAGTGGTGCTTCAGGTTAAGAACAGTTTCAGGTTAGGTACGGACCTCCGGATCGAATTAAGTACTTAACCCGAGGTACCACTGTATTGTATTTTAATATTCTGTTGGAAGCTGCCCAGAGTGGCTGGGGAAACCCAGCCAGATGGGCGGGGTATAAATATTATTATTATTATTATTATCATTAACCACGATGGCTATGCCCTCCACAGTTGGAGGCAGCAATGCTTCTGAATTTTGGGGAAACCACAGGAAGGGTGAGCCATTGACCTGAAGCAGCAGGCTGTTCTGATGTTCTAGCCACCAGGAATTCAGATGATGCCTTCAGATGTCTTCTAAAAGTCTGGTAGTTGTTTTTCTCTTTGACATCTGGTGGTAGGGCATTCCACAGATGCCACTACTGAGAAGGCCCTCTGCCTGCTTCCCTGTAACTTCCCTGGACTGAGGCCTTTTAGTATGTGTCTGAGCACAATCCAAACTGTTGGTGTTGACCTTGAAAGGCCTACACAGCTTTGGCCCTGTGTACCTGAAGGAGCGTCTCCACCCCCGTCGTTCAGCCCGGACACTGAGGTCCAGCTCCGGGGGCCTTTTGGCGGTTCCTTCACTGTGAGAAGTGAGGTTACTGGGAACCAGGCAGAGGGCCTTCTCAGCAGTCACACCACTTTGGCGAATGCCCTCCTGGCAGATGTCAAAGAGTTAAACAACTATATAAATTTCTGTAGGCATCTGAAGGCAGCCCTGTTTCAGCAAGCTTTTAATGTTTGATGCTATATTTTTGTTGGAAGCTACCCAACGAAAATAATTTATTTATAAATTATGATGATAATATTATTATTATAAATAAATAAATATCCTTTTTTAACTGTGGTGCCCAGACCAGGACCAGGTGAATACTGACCAAAGAAGGATTGATGCTGACCAAACCTCTACCTTTCATTCCTGAAGCCAGATAAAATTCCACAACTCCATTTATATCCCCAAATTGACTGGACTTTAAAGGTTTCCCTGAGATGGAAGGCAGCCTATGGCACGCACCCAGGACACTCCACGCAAATGCCTGAACCAACTTTGAAGCTAGGAAGCAGTGCCCTTTGTTGGTTGACATTCCAGTGGTTGCAGGAGCAGCATGCCTCAAGGGCTGGCCTCTTATGTATTCTATTGAAACAGGTGAGAAGGAGTGTGGAATTTGCAATTTGAAAGCATTTGCAGCCAAAGAGAAGGGCTGCGGAATGGTAGTGGGGCGGCAGCGGAAGGGGGGGGGTTGGCCTACAGCCAGTGGAGAGGGATTGAGATTGCTTGACAGGGATATTTTGGCTTGCAGAATGAGGGAGGAGCAGCTGCTTTGACATGAGAGAGTGAGTTTTGGACATCAATGAGGGGTGTTTGGGAAGTGAGCTTAAAAGATTGGGATATGGAACTCACCTTGGCCTAAAAAGGAGAGAATTAAAGGCAGCATTAGACAGTGCTGAGAACGATGTTCACAAGCGAGGCATTGGCAAGGGGAAAGTTAAAAAACAACCACTGGTCCTATTGCTGGCTCCCTTCCTTATCAAAAACTGTCTTTTTTCAGTGATGAATTATATATCTCATCCTGGACTAGGAATGCTCGAGGGATTTGATCTTTGTGGATTCCTGTATTGGGGTAGGGAACCTTAAGCTCTCCAGATGTTGTTGAACTACAACTCCCATCAGCACCAGCAGGCATGGCCAATGCCCAAGGATGATGGGAGTTGTAGTTCTGTAACATCTGGAAGGTCAAAGGTTCCCTGCATTGGCCCTACATGAATTGACCTGATCTATACATTTTGGACTAACGTATAGATTTCAGAGGCAGTTTTTTGCACTTGCATGAATTTTTCGATGCAAGTTCTCAGCTTAAAAAGCATATCCAAATGCGTATACTTTGGCCACGTCTACACGGTACGTTTACCAAAGCTACAATTCCCAGAGTGCTTTAACAGTCAATCGCTCTTCACAGGAAACCCTGGGAACTGTAGCTCTGTGAGGGGAATAGGGGCTCTCTGAACAACTCTCAGCACCTTTAACATACACTCTGGGGGAAGCCATGACTGTTTAACTCTTGAGAGTCCCATGGACTGCAAGAAGATCAAACCTATCCATTCTTAAGGAAATCAGCCCCGAGTGCTCACTAGAGGGACAGATCGTGAAGCTGAGGCTCCAATACTTTGGCCACCTCATGAGAAGAGAAGACTCCCTGGAAAAGACCCTGATGTTGGGAAAGATTGAGGGCACAAGGAGAAAGGGACGACAGAGGACGAGATGGTTGGACAGTGTTCTCGAAGCTACCACCATGAGTTTGACCGAACTGCGGGCGGCAGTGGAAGACAGGAGTGCCTGGCGTGCTCTGGTCCATGGGGTCATGAAGAGTTGGACATGACTAAACGACTAAACAACAACAACAACAACAACAACAACAACAACAACGACTGTTTAAAGTGGTATCATAGGACTTTAAATGTATGGTGTGAATGTGGCCTTTGACAGCTCTTGTGACATGTCTGGTGGGGCAGAACTCTGGAACTGCCCGGATACTGGTCACAACTGCTTACCTGGACAGGGCTGGTTGTCTCTGTGGCAGCAACACCCCCAATCCAGCAGCCCTGCTGCCATCATATTGTGGTCCCAGATTTTTACAGATTAATTAATGCAGAGAAGTGAAGAAACAGGCTTACTTATGAATGACCTGGATCAGAACTCGAAAAGTCACATGGAAGAGTAGACTCATCATCTTGCCATTTGCTGAGTGGATAATTTGATTTTGACACTCTTTGGAAATCTTTTAGCTCTGGGGTGGCAGAAGTGTCTGAATTCCACTGAACTCGGAGTCTTTACCCTAATTTTAACTGCAACTGCTACTCTTTTCAGAGCCTTGTATTGACAGTGGTGGTGATGGAGACTCCACCCTCCAAGCACCTTGATTCTTTGGAAGTGACAAGGCTTTTCTTGGGTTACTTCAGCTTTACAATGGGACCAATGTCCTCTACATCACTATTCCTGAACCTTGGGTCCCCAGGTACGGGTGGACTACAACTCCCATCAGCCTTGGCCATTACACTAAGCTGGCTGTGGATGATGGGAGTTGTAGTCCACCCAGATCTGGGTACCCAAGTACATGATATAAACTAAACAGGTCAACCATGCACCTTCATGCACTTTTGGTTCCAGTTTTAGACTTGTGACACACTTCAGTCTGTATTTCCTTGGTCAATTGCCCGCTGGGCCATGACATTACCCAGCTAGGCTCTACCCCTAACCCAACCTACTCATAGTAGACAAGAGTGTTCCTATTTTCATCTGTAAAATATTGGGGTATTACAGTACAAGTGTTGATGGATTTCAGCTGTTACTCACATTCAGCAGCTTCTCTGTTTTACCTTCTGCTATATCAGTTCAACAGGTGGAAACCAATACAGCGAAACTATGAAGCGGCTATCTACAGCTCAAAAGCCTTCATAAAGAAGAAGGTTTTGACTAGTTTGGCTTTCTTGCTTGAGATGTCTGGAGATTGCTTGGAGTTCACATGTGCTTGCTCTCTAGCTTACATTTATGACTTGCGGGTGATTTGGGTGTGTCACTATGTGTGAACTGAATGGTTTTTAGGTAGCGTGAAATTCCATAGCTGGAATCCAAAGTGCTCTTTTGGAGTTAGAATCATAGAATTGTTGAGTTGGGAGGAACCATGTGGAACCAACCCTCGGCAATGCAGGAATCCTTTTGTCCAACGTGGGGCTTGAACTCACGACTCCGATATTAAGAGTCTCATGTTCTACTGACTGAACTAGGCCTTTTAGATTCCCAAGCGGTTTAGTCATGCTGGCCGCATGACCCAGAAAGCTTTGTCTCTGGACAAATGCCTGCTCCCGCAGCCTGAAAAGCAAGATGAGCGCTGCACCCCATAGTCACCTGTGACTGGACTTAACCATCCAGGTGTCCTTTACCTCACTTTTAGATCCCCCCATGCTAAAATACTCCATTTGTAACAGTTTCAAAACTCATTTGCTATGGACACTTGTGTGTGTCTGGCTGTGTATACACCATACCTTTAAAGCACATTCAAAACACAATGATTTCCTGCAAAGAATTCTGGGCACCGTAGTTTACCTCTCACACAGTTACATCTCCCAGCAACCCTTGGCAAACTACAGGGCCCAGAATTCTTTGAGGGAAAGAATGTGTTTCGAACGTGCTTTAAGGTTATAGCGTGTACACAGCTTGTGCATTGTTTGAGAAACACAAACACAGCCTCCCTTGGGGGTTTGTGCAGAACTAGTTACATGGTTCTTTGGATTCTGGAGGATGATTGTAATTAGCAGTGAAAGAAAAGGCTTGAATTGCAGGGTATTCTTAACTAGCATGTTTTCCCTCAGATTTGATCTTCTCTCCCCAGTCGTTTTCCTGAGAAGGCAGGCTTTTCAGACTCAGTGAAGATGAGGATGAAACGTATCAGGTTTCTTTAACTTCTCATTCAGGAGGTTTAAGTCACATCTCATATTTCATAAACTTTTGCAGCATCAGTTCAAGCCAAAAAGCTCTAGCAATGTTTTGAGAAACTAAAACTCCCCAACCCCTTTTGAACCTGGGTCATCATAAGTGGACTGTGCACTGGCGATCTTGAGTAAGTAGACCCATGTTGTTGTTATTCTTTTTCTTTTCTTTTCTTTTTTAAAAAGAAATCACACAGAAATGCCTTGTAAAGTGGCCTGGTTCACACGAGAAATGAAGTATGAGATCATAAAGACATTATACCATGAATGCTCTCTTTCTGCTGCTCTAAGAATAGGTGGCTTGGAGGGTGAAAGGGTAGCATTTACATTTAAATACACCTATTGGGAACACACAAACAGAAGGCTAAAACTGTGGCACCCTCATTGAAACCTTTGGGAGTTTCTGCAGCCTCTTTGGTTCTTTACATAACAGTCCCTTTGCTCTTTCTCAAGCGAGCAAATATAGGAAGCCAAAGGACTCGTTGGCTGAAAAGAAACCCAGCCCTCAAAAGTGTTTGCATGGTTGGACCGACTGACTAATTATTTTAAAACAGAATCAGTGTAATTTTCATGCACGTTCAGCACGCTGGTTGTTCATCATCATCATCATCATCATCATCATCGCAGTACGTTAATTAATTGCAATAATATTTATGTACTAATATTACCTTTGTTATCATTTTAAATTTCAACCGCCGAGAACCCGTTTTCTAGGTGACTTGCAGAACGAAACTATTGCATGGTCTTTAAAAACCCAATAACTTAAACAACAAAAATTGATGAAAAATAATAACACAAAGCTTTCCCTTGTGGAGAGAGATGAGCAGAGCATTTCCACCCTCTGGATATGCTGGCTGGAGGGAGATAGGACTGAGCAGAGTTGAGTTTGGGGAGGAAAGCTCAGCAGGCATTCATAGAACCATAGACAGCAAGGGCCATTATTTATTATTTAAAAACATAAAGGTAAAGGACCCCTGACAGTTAAGTCCAGTCACATACGACTCTGGGGTTGCAACACTCATCTTGCTTTACAGGCCGAGGGAGCCAGCATTTGTCCACAGACAGTTTTTCTGGGTCATGTGGCCAGCATGACTAAGCCAGAGCATTGAACGGAAACAACATTTACCTTCCCGCCGGAGTGCTACCTATTTATCTACTTGCATTTTTGGCGTGCTTTCGAACTGCTAGGTTGGCAGGAGCTGGGACAGAGCAATGGGAGCTCACCCCATCGCGGGGATTCGGACCACTGATCTTCTGACCGGCAAGCCCAAGAGCAGGGGTAGGCAACCTAAGGCCCAGGGGCCAGATGCGGCCCAATCACCTTCTCAATCTGGCCCGCAGATGGTCCAGGAGTCAGTGTGTTTTTACATGAGTAGAATGTGTCCTTTTATTTAAAATGCATCTCTGGGTTATTTGTGGGGCATAGGAATTTGTTCATTCCCCCCCCCAAAAAAAAAAATATAGTCCGGCCTACCACATGGTCTGAGGGATGGTGGACCGGCCCACGGCTGAAAATGTTGCTGACCCCTGCCCAAGAGGCTCAGTGGTTTAGACCACAGCGCCACCTGTATCCCTTTTATTATTAGTAATATTATTATTAATTAATTAATTAAATTTACCTACACCCACAGGTCTTAGGGCAGTTCATCAAGTACAACCCCCTGTAATGCAGGAATCCTTTGCCCAACATGGGACTCAAACCCATTGATAAGTTTGCAGCCAGCAGAAGCTGGGCTTAGGGCTCCAAACAGGGCATTTTGGTGTCAGGGCAGAGGTGTGATCCAGATGTGCAAGCACACCTGCCCAATCTTAACCAACTCCAGACATCAGATCTTGGGAGGTAGGATTTATCTTTCTGTCTCTGTTAGGAAAGCTTTTATGTTGCTGTTTGCTCCGCCCACTTTTGCCTCTGGCCCCGCCCACCCCCAGCATGTGGTCCTCCCAGAGTTTTTTCAGAAAGGAATGTGGTGCTCAGGACAGAAAAGGCCCCTCAACTCTCCCTTTCCCCTTGCCCTCATTCGTTGGGCATTTTTACTCGTTTCTGATCTAATGATGCAAGCGTTCCAACAAGCCTCATGGGCCAAGTACAATGTTGCTTCATTTTCCCAGAGAAAGTGAACAAACATCTCCAGCGTATGCCAAGGAATGACTTATGGGTGGCAGAACACTTGCCACCTGGAGCAAATAGAAACCAAAGCCGTGTGGAATGAGGTCCTCTTGCCAGCGTGATCTGGCAGCCTCCTCTGAGGAAGCTCAGCAAGAGCATCAAAACACAACATAATAGAAACATTGCCACCCGATCCCACCCCCATCCATCTTCCCTCCCTCCACCCCCCTTTCTTTTTCCTTTCTTTTTTCTTCTCCTCCCCCTAATGCCTCAACAAATGAAACGGATTTGTAAAAATGTTACATGGGGAAAAAAATACGAGGCATTACACTTCTGTAAAACAAGAAAATCCTTAATAAAATATTTTTTTTTTAAAAAAAATGCAGCACTGTTTGCAATCCAGTCACGTTCCCCCTTCCCTGGTTTGCTTTTCATTGCCTTTTGCAAATATTGCATTATAACACCAACGTGACAGAAATCAAATGCCATCCTTGTTTTTTGTTGCGAAAACTGCCTGCACATCCAACCAACTTACAGTCTTTGATAGTAGGAAAGTCTCTGTAGGCCTTGAGCCTGAATGCAGGTGCATACAGGGAATCAAAATATGTATTGTCCCATACAGAACAACGAAACTGAAAAAATCTACATCAGACATTCAAAAACCAACGAGCTTCCCCAGCTATCCCAGCCTGGTTAACCCCCTAAAAACTCTGATACCCCATAATTAAATACAATATACTCCCACAGAGACTACCTTACACTGCATTTAAAACCAAAATCGCATTTGGATAAAAACTGTTTCTCAGGCGGCTAGTCCTAGTCTTTATAACCCTGTACCTTCTTCCAGAAGGCAGAAGCTGAAAGAGATCATTTCCGGGGTGCGTACTATCCTGCACTATCACTGCAGCTTTCTTATGACACCTGGAAGCATAGATTTGATCCAAGGTGGGAAGAGTGCACCCAATTATTCTCTCCGCAGTCTTTACAACCCTGGACAGCATTGTTTTTCCCCTGACCATGCAGCTCCCAAACCACACACACAGACCATAAGTTAATACACTCTCAACAGTACAATGGTAAAATGCCATCAACAGGTCCTTTGAGAGATTATTTTTCCGGAGGATTCTCAGAAAATATAACCTCTGCTGTGCTCTCTTCATCAAGTCTTTACTGTTTTCTCCCCAGGTTAGGTCATCTCTCAACTCCATTCCCAGAAATCGAAACACCGAGACCTGTTCCACACACTTCCCCTCAATAATGTCTGTGTTAATCATGTAACTCCAAAAAAAGAGAGATAACCCAGCTTCTGTCTAGTTCAGGAGTAGGGGATCCTCAGGGACAGGGCACACGTTGCTCTCTATCTGGCACTCGGTACTCTCTACTCTCACCACACCACACCCCTCACAGTCTCCGTCCACACCCTCCTTGACTCTTTTGCCTGACTGGATTGCTCATAGAATCATAGACTTGTAGAGCTGAAAAGGACCCCACAGGGTCTTCTACTTCAACCCCTCGCAATCCAGGAATCTCAGCTAAAGCACCCATGACAGATGATCATACAACCTTGTTATTATTAATTATTATTTTTTCAATTTGTATACCGCCCTTTGCCTGTAGGCAGTTCACAACATGAAAACACAAGGTAAAAAAACAAAACACATAATAAAAACAAGAACAAAAACAAACCAATAACGCCCCCCCCCATTGTGTCCTGGAAGTCTGCTTACGCCTCTCACTTGTTTGGATGGAAACTAGAGAGGGGTTTGTGAGTGTGGGAAAACTAACCTGCTGCCCAAAGGTAAAATGGACCTTCATTGCTCTACCCAGCTTTGCCTCTGGTCTACTCCTACCACTGGCAAGTGGCCCCTGGAAGATTGCCCGGGAAGGAATGCAGCCCCTGGGACAGAAAAGGTTCCCCATCCCTGGTCATGTTATACCGCTGGTTTCCTTTTTATTACTCCTGTTCACCATTTGTAACTTACACAGTTTCACCAGCAAACAGAGCAAAAAGAGAGACCATTCCCTCCAATTTTAGAAGAAGAGGAAGTGGCGAAACCAATTTGGTGAACCAATGTGAGGGGAGATGCAGTTTGCCATACTTCCAGCAAGGGATGAGAATAACGGTGTTAAGCCTCAGTCTACATGGCAATGGGGGCTGGTGGTACACTAATTGGTAACTGCAGAGTTAAATACTGACCACATGCACATCATACCTTTAAAGCACTAGGACACAATTTTCAACAGCCATGGCTTCCCCCATAATATTCTGGGAGCAGTAATTTGTTAAGGGTGCTCAGAGTTGTTAGGGGATTCCTACTCCCATCACAGGGCTACAGTTCCCAGATTGGCACAATAATCCCTCTTCCCAGGGAACTCTGGGAATTGTTGCTCTGGGAGGAGAATAGTGGTTGGAAAATATCACAAAATTTGTCTGAGTGCAAATTTCAAAGGATGGCTATGTTTTTGTTTGCATATTGTTTTGGAGAGTGAGAATTTGATAGATTTAGTTTTAAATACGAATGGAATCAAATTTCCCCCGTATCACTAGAGTCAAGTATATGTGTCATTGGAGGAGATCACCCACAGCAGGAAAAAAATTTGCATTGGCTTCTCTTTGTATGCATTTCTGTGGGCACTCCAAAATTCTAAGCCTGATACTGAACAAAGCCAGCAAAAGATTGCACCATCAATAGAAAACAAACTTTCTGGTGAGTTGAACTAATCAGGCTTACCAATGTCATTTGCAAATAGCTAAATGTAGTAACATCCCCCCCGCACACACATACTCACACACATGCAAAACCAAGCAACCAACAATTCACTCAGAACAAGTCTTGGCACCGCAGTGCAACAAACAGAAAAAGCTTGATTTGGTTCTAGCCAACTTGGAATTCAGAGACTGATTTAGAGCAGTGCTTCTCAGGCTATAGCAAATTATCTGCAAGGCCCTTGGTGAAATGTCAGAGTGGAATTTTTAACCTTGGTTCACTTGTTTGCCAGCTGGGAATACCAGCTTCTCCTTTAGCCCGTGAAGCCCATTACAACTCCTGGCTTGCGCAGTGCATAAAATTGGCAGGCTCCTCTGTTTTAGAAATGCTATACAGATTATACACTTGATTAACAGACCACCATCTCCACCTAAACTGACTCAAGCCTGTTTTGTAACACCTCTGCTTGACTGAGGACCATTTACCAACACTGGTCTGCCCCCCCCTTTCATTTTTAAATCTATATGAATCTGGAAGATGTGAAATACAATAAATAAAAAGAAGGGGGGGACAGTGCAACCCCCTCCCACCAGGGTTCACAGCTTCATAAAATAATATGCATTTACAAGAGACTACTACTTAGATATTACAAAAAAAATATGGACCTGATACAGAAAGAATACAAAACAAATGATATTAATACCAAATAAAGCCATATTTCTGTGGGACTTGTTATCCCCCTGATTCACCTATCGTATAAGTAAGGAATGGCCACCAAACCAAGGCAAAATTCATAGGTTTATGTGCACTCTGAGATACCCTTTAATTATGTCAATTTCTCAGAGATGAGAATAAATGATACTTTATTGAACCAAATATTTAACGAAAAAACCCAATTACTCCTTCCAGCAGCTATAATAGAAAAATTGTGAGTGGTTTGCATATTATAGTCTGTATTCAACTCCTCAAAAATTGATAAAATACACAATTTGGTTTCATTTCAGAAATTTCCTTTATTGCCTCTTCCCAAATTTTGGTCACTTATTTTGCAAGGCCACCATATGTGCCAATAGGTTCCTCTTTCATTATATCCCCTCCAACACATGGGGGAACCAATGCTAGTTACACGTGCAAGACAGACTAGAGTCAAGAACAATTGATGGGTTATTTTAAAGGAGATTTCTCAGATATTTGTAGAGACAGATCTGAAAGGGGTAGCAGGCCACAGTTTTCCCCACTGCACATTGTCCAATAGACATCCAAGATGCATTCCCTGAACAGATTGCAAAAAAGGGTTCTGTTTTGTGTTGTGGTGCAGCTAGACTGGTGACTAGGAGCGGCTGCCGAGACCATATAACACCAGTCTTGAAAGACCTACACTGGCTCCCAGTACGTTTCTGAGCACAATTCAAAGTGTTGGTGCTGACCTTTAAAGCCCTAAACGGTCCAGTATACTTGAAGGAGCATCTTCACCTCCATCGTTCTGCCCGGACACTGAGGTCCAGCGTCGAGGGCCTTCTGGCAGTTCCCTCCTACGAGAAGCCAAGTTACAGGGAACCAGGCAGAGGGCCTTCTCAGTAGTGTCACCCGCCCTGTGGAACGCCCTCCCACCAGATGTCAAAGAGAGAAATAACTACCAAACTTTTAGAAGACATTTGAAGGCAGCCCTGTTTAGGGAAGCTTTTAATGTTTAATAGATTATTGTATTTTAGTGTTCTGTTGGAAGCCGCCCAGAGTGGCTGGGGAAACCCAGCCAGATGGGCAGGGTATAAATAATAAATAATAAATAATATAATAATAATAATAATAATAATAATAATAATAATAATAATAATTAGTGTGTGATGGAACTGAAGAAACAACTTTTTTATATTCCTTGATCAGAACATAAGAATTGCCTTGCCAGATCAGATGAAAGTCAGTCTTATTTGGCCTTCTGTTTCCAAAAGGCTTTCAGGTTCGTGTTCCATTGAAAAGCGTGCATCTGCAGCAAAGATGGAGAACGTGTAGCCCTCCGGATGTTGTTGGATTCCTAGTCCCATTGGTCAGTTTGGTGGTCAAGGCTGGTGGGAGTTGGGACACTTCCAGACAGTTCACTATTTGGGGGTTGAATTCAGTCCCATACTGGAAAATTAGGCTGAAAGATGGGTAATTAACAACAACAACATCAACCACAGAGTTCAACCTGCTCGCTAATAATTGTCAAACTACCAACCACTGCATGTATTTACTCGTTTCCTTATTCCCCAGACAACTGCTGAAGAGACAGAGCGTCTCTTTATCACTGTGATAAACATGATGTTCCCCTCACACAAAGTTCCTATCAAGAATGACCTTTAATATCAAACTGCTGCAATCTTTTTTTTAAAAAAAGTAATGCCTTCTTTTACAGCTTGCAGAAGCCAGTGGCCTGTGTGTGTATGTGTGTAGAGGAGCGTGGAGAGGCTGTGGAGAGTCAAGGAAAATTCATGATACAGCTCTTGTTTTTAACCCAGCTAATTAAAATCTGCATGCGCGGAGTGTAACTGAGAATGTAGCCTTCGCCCACCACTTTCCCACAGGCAGGGAATAAAGGTCTTCAGTGTACCAGAAGCTCGCCGGTCTTTGGAAAACAGAGAACAGAGCTCACAATTCATCCCGGCATCCCTTATCAAGTCTTTGGAGTTCAACCCCCCCTTCCCTTCAGTCCCCGCCCCCATCGCTACAACAGAACCCCTTACTGTCAGGGTCTACGTTGTTGCTCAGTGCATCCCACTAAAATGTAACAAAGCTAAAAATATGTTGATTCTCATTTGTTATGCTCCAAATAGAATCCCTTTCCAGTGACTTATTTTGTAGTAAATACATTTACTCACAAAGACTGTTTATTCTGCCAAGAAGTGATTTGAGTGGCAGGCTTTTCACAGTTCCATACAGTGACAGTCTGAGGCAGTTTATTCCGTTTCCTTGTCGTTTCCCTAACTTGTTAAATTTCCACATTATATTTGAGCTTTCGCAGAATGTAAAAGCCGCTTCTGGGAAACTAATGGCCTATAGGGCATGTTTAGCATACGTTTCTGCGTTATTTGATTCCAGAAAAATTCATTTGCAGCCTGCCTTAACCTGGAAAATTGTGGGAGTAAAGTGAATTAATTTTGGGCTGTGTACTTGTATACAGTTATTTCTTGCTGTTTTCGCGAGGCAATCAGGGAAAACAGAAATACACATTTGTGGAAAACGTGTGTCAGGGAACAGCGGGGAATACCAACAAAACATTGTCCAGTGATGTTTGTTGTGTCACACCACACCCACTGGTGTGAATGAAGTTTAGCATGCCTATGTCATAGAACTGTAGAATTGTAGAGTTGGAAATGACCCCAAGGGGCATCTAGTCCAACTCATTGAAATGCATGAATCATAACTAAAGCATCCAGGACAGATAGCTGTCTAACCTCTGCTTAAAAACCTCTGAGGAAGGAGAGTCCACCACCTTCCGAGAGAGTCCATTCCATTGTCAAACAGCTCTTACCATCAGAAAGTTCTTCCTGATGTTTAGTCAGAATCTCCTTTCTTGTAACTTGAACCCATTGTTACAGGTCCTATGCTCCAGAGCAGGAGAAAACAAGCTTGCTCCACCCTCCACATAACAGCCCTTTAGATATTTGAACATGGCTATTATTTTTCCTTTCATTCTCCTCCTATCCATATCCATTTCCCTCAACCATTCCTCATAAGGCTTAGTTTCCAGACCCTTGACCATCTTGGCCGCCCTCCTCTGCACACGTTCCATCTTGTCAATATCTTCCTTATATAGTCATACCTCGGGTTGAAGTAGCTTCGGGATAAGCATTTTTGGGTTGCGCTCCATGGTGACCTGGAAGTAATGCAGCGCGTTACTTCTGGGTTTCGTCACTCGCGCATGCGCAGACACTCAAAATGACGTCACGCACATGCACGGAAGTGGTGAATCGTGACCCGTGGATGCGAGTTGCGTTCGCTTCAGGATGCGAACAGGGCTCCGGAACGGATCCCGTTCACATCCAGAGGTACCACTGTATTGTGGACACTGGGCACAGTATTCCAGGTGTGATCTGATGAGGGCAAAATTTTTGTTGTTTAGTCATTCAGTCATGTCTGACTCTTCGTGACCCCATGGACCAGAGCACGCCAGGCACTCCTGTCTTCCACTGCCTTCCGCAGTTTGGTCAAACTCATGCTGGTAGCTTCGAGAACACTATCCAACCATCTCGTCCTCTGTCTTCCCCTTCTCCTTGTGCCCTCCATCTTTCCCAACATCAAGTTCTTTTCCAGGGAGTATTCTCTTCTCATGAGGTGGAAGTATTGGAGTCTCAGCTTCAGGATCTGTCCTTCCAGTGAGGGTGGTACTATTACTTCCCATGATTTGGGCACTATACTTCTGTTGATGCAGCCTAGAATAGCATTATCTTTCCCCCCCTGCTGCATCACACTGTTGACTGATGTTAAGTTTGTGGTCTATCAAGACCACTAGATCCCTTTTTCACATGCTACTGAAATCAAGCTACACTACATCCACAGCCTTCCCCTGATCCACCAAGCTTGTAACTCAATCAGAAAAAGAATTGAGATCATCTGGTGTCACATGTTTTTGAGAAACTCATGCTAGGTCTTAATAATAACTGTATCCCTTTCTAAGTGCTGACAGACCAACTGTTTCATCATCTGTTCTAGGACCTAGTATCAATGTTAAGCTTACTGGTTGGTAATTACCTGGGTCTTCTTAATTTAGGTTGAATATGTCTTGTTGTTTATTTGCCTTTTTTTATAAAAGATTTTTTTCCAAGTGCATTTCTAAAATTCATTTGGAAAGGCATACATTGAGACACTGGCAACAACTAAGTGATTAATAGTTTGTATCAGGAGAAATACATAGTAAAACAGTTGTCTTCTACTTTCCATGTTCTTTGGGTTGAGGCACCTGGCAGCACAAGCATGCTCTAAGGCAGGGGTCAGCACACTTTTTCAGCAGGGGGCCGGTCCACTATCCCTCAGACCTTGTAGGGGGGGCGGACTATATTTTGGGGGGGGGGGATGAATGGATTCCTATGCCCCACAAATAACCCAGAGAGGCATTTTAAATAAGAGCACACATTCTGCTCATGTAAAAACACCAGGCAGGCCCCACAAATAACCCAGAGAAGCATTTAAAATAAAGGATACATTCTACTCATGTAAAAATACACTGAATCCTGGACTGTCCGCGGGCCGGATTGAGAAGGCGATTGGGCTGGATCCGGCCCATGGGCCTTAGTTTGCCTACCCATGCTCTAAGGCTAAAGTCTGGTGAGCCCTTACTCAAATTAGCATCCTTTGATTCTCTCTTTCTCCCATTAGAGAATGACGCATTCTGCCACAATTTCCTGCCAGGATTCAACACTTGGAAGGTGACTGGGCCGCGTGATTTGAAATTACAGTCCAAGGAAAGCCTCTTTTCACAGTTCCCATGAGCAAAGTGCCTGCATGTGAGCATTTCTGAGCGATGACCACAAAGAATTGCTCAGGCAGCTGTGTGCTCACTCTGCTATGATGATATCCCATTCGCAAGCATCTGCACATCTCTGCAACATCACACACAGACTTTTCTCTGGGACCTGGATGCAGCCTTGCTGGGTCAAACACAATGAGCAAGGACCTTCCCTCCCAAAATATAAAAAAATAAAAGGAAAGGAAATAATAATGATTTCTCCCGCAATCATGAAAGTTTTTCTAGGATCCCTAGAGCCACTGGGAAAATCAATAAAGGGTCTTGTGACACCTTAACAACTTAACAAATTTATTATGGTGTAAGGTTTTGTTTTTGCAACAACAAACTAACATGGAACTTCCTTCCAGAAATTCAGGTTGGTGGGGGTCCCACAGCAGAGGTGCTTCCCCCACTTCCAGAAAGTTACATTCCAATGTGCAAAATGTCACCAGAAGATTAATTACCTGGAGCGTGTCAGCACTACAAACATTGATCATTGTTGCCAATTTAACTTTCACATATTAGCGTGAAGAATCCTGGGTCATATAATTTTTTTGATAGCACGGAGAAGCACCTGTTTGCGACTAATGGTACACATCTATTAATATCTACTTGGAATAAAGTCTCATTGCGTTCCATGGGGCTGACGTCCAGGCACATGTCTATAGAATTGCAGGTGGGCAGAGTAATCCGATCGGGGCGGGGAGAGGAAATGTCTGATGTGGGTTTTCTGGAAATTTCTATGCAAATCACAACTGGACTATTGCAATGCATTCTACATAGGGCTATCCTTGAAAATGGCCTGGATGCTGTATCTAGTGGAGAATGCTTCTGCCAGGCCATAATGTGGGACAGTGAGAAGTGATCGTAAAACATCAATCATTAAGGCCCTGTACTGGATGCCTGGATGATAAAGGGTCCATTTCAAGGTATTGGTACTGGTATAGAAAACTCTAAAGAAGGACCTATCACACTTTTCTTCTTGGCATGGAGATTGGCCTTTCACTCCTTGAATGGATGTACACACTGTCTTAAGTCAAGCTGAGGGCATAGGGAGAAGACTATGCCAAAGACAGTTGGAGGGAGAACACAGCCCTGTTTCACACCACTCTTTATAGGAAAGGCATCTGAGGATGAGCTGTCATGTTGGATGGTGCCACTCATGTTCTTGAGGAAGGACACAATCTTCTTGTGGAGCTTAGGTGGGCATCCTATCTTGCAGAGCAGTCCTTTTCGGCGGATGAGGTCCAAGGCCTTCATCAGGTCTCAGCATTTCTCCTGCAGCTGGCGCAGTGGGAAAATCATGTCGACTGTTGACCTCTGAGCTCCAAAGCCGCATTTCGACTCGGGATAGACCCTGCCTGCGAGCGACTGCAATCTTTTGAGAACTAAATGGGTGGAGGCTTTCCCCACAGTACTCAGCAGAGAGATTCCACAATAGTTGTTACAGTCACCTTTTTTTTTTTTTGCAGGGGGTCACAATGCTGGTGTCGCACAGGTCTTGTGACACGAATCCGGTTTCCCAACACTGCAAGAGAAGGCCGCGGAGGTGTCCCATGAGGGAGGAGTTGGGGCTGGCTTTCAGTACTTCTGTTGGGGTTCCATCTTTTTCTTAGGTTTTACCATATGCCTGGGAGTTGATGGTGTTCTTCATTTCATCCAGGGAGGGAGGAACATCCAGCTCTTCCGTGGAGGGCAGAATCTGGACACTGTCAACTGCTGTGTCAGTAACCATATTTTATAACAACAACAACAAAAACAGTAATATTTATACGCCGCCCATCAGGCTGGGTTTCCCCAGCCACTCTGGGCGGCTCCCAACAGAGGACTAAAAACAGAGTAAAACTTCAAACATTAAAAACTTACCTAAACAGGGCTGCCTTCAGATGTCTTCTAAAAGTCAGATAGTTGTTTATTTCTTTGACATCTAATGGGAGGGTGTTCTACAGGGCAGGTGCCACTATTGAGAAGGCCCTCTGCCTGGTTCCCTGTAACCTCACTTCTCACAGTGAAGGAACTGCTAGAAGGCCCTCGGAGCTGGACCTCAGTGTCTGGGCTGAACGATGGGAGTGGAGATGCTCCTTCAGGTATAGTGGGCCATGAGTAAAGTTCCCCATAGTCCTCCACCCTTCACTTCATCTACCTGCAGTGGTCTGTGATGAACTATCCAGGCAAGGTTTTCAGCGGTGTATTTTTCCCGACTGTTGGTCCAAAGGCTTTCTTCATGCCTTCATACATTTTGTGAGAGTTGAATGCTCTGACACAGCTTTAGCCCAAATGTAAACATTTATTTTTCAAAAACAAAAATTTAAAAGAAGGTTATAGTTTCTAATTCATGGAAAAATCTGCTTAGATAGATCATTTTAGTGAGTAATACTCACTGGACAATAGGCCAATTTAACAATTCATTTCATAAACAATTGCTAAATTAAAAAAACCTGTCTCTGAATTTTTCAAAAGTTTGGTTAGAAACAGATAGGTAGTGGGCATCATAAATCACATGGGAGTAGGAAAATGTTGCGGGAAAAGTGTCCAAACAATTACTTTTTACTCAACCCACAGTTTGGCATTGTCCCTGAGCCATGATGGATTGCGTGTATTAGAGGCAGTATTCTTTCCTTCACAATGTTATCCCATTATGCACGCAAAGCAATGTTGGCCACGTTATCATTAACAGAACATTTTTCTTTTTTCTTTTTAAAAAGGAGCTGTCTCCCTGGACACAATGTGTTTTTCATTCTCAGGAGCATGTTACGCAGCACATACTACAATATGCCAACGTGCAGATAAAGATGCTTCTTCCTGCACCATGTCTGAAAATTAAGAGAGATTGGGGAAACTTGAAAGTGTGCGGGAGGAACCTCCCCCCCCCCCGCTGATGGATGCATTCCTTCGGGAGCAATGTGTTGGGGGTGGAGTTGGAACTGGCCGTGGATGGTGCCAGTTTTAGAAGTGCCATGGGTTTGCAACATTACAAATCTCTCTCTCTCTCTCCTCCTCTCTCTCTGCCACCCCATCACTCCCTCTCTGTGCTACCATATCTCACATAGTTAGGCTGAGGGATGCAGTCCTCATGTCAATGGAATAACTTCTCTAGAATTTGCAAATGTCTTCAGAAGCATTATAAGTCCTTTCCTTTTCAGAATGCATCTTATATTGATCCTAAATAGATGAGGGCTTAATATTGCAAATGGGCCATTGACAAGCAATTGACAACAGGCTTCTAACTTTCTAAATTTATTTTTTAAATCTGCAGGATTTCCCCCTGAAAGGGTAAAAAGGTAAGAGCTCATGGGCCATCTTGCTCAGGATTGTCTACACACTGACCGGCAGCAGCTCTCCAGTAATAATAATAATAATAATAATAATAATAATAATAATAATAATAATTTATTATTTATACCCCGCCCATCTGGCTGGGCTTCCCCAGCCACTCTGGGCAGCTTCCAAAAAAAAAAAATTAAAATACTGTAATACATCAAACATTAAAAGCTTCCCTAAAGAGGGCTGCCTTCAGATGTCTTCTAAAAGTCTGGTAGTTGTTGTTCTCTTTGACATCTGGTGGGAGGGCATTCCACAGGGAGGGCGCCACTACCGAGAAGGCCCTCTGCCTGGTTCCCTGTAACTTGGCTTCTCGCAGTGAGGGAACCGCCAGAAGGCCCTCGGCACTGGACCTCAGTGTCCGGGTAGAACAATGGGGGTGGAGACACTCCTTCAGGTATACTGGACCGAGGCAGTTTAGGGCTTTAAAGGTCAGCACCAACACTTTGAATTGTGCTCAGAAATGTACTGGGAGCCAATGTAGGTCTTTCAAGACTGGTCTTATGTGGTCTCGGCGGCTGCTCCCAGTCACCAGTCTAGCTGCCGCATTCTGGATTAGTTGTAGTTTCCGGGTCACCTTCAAAGGTAGCCCCACGTAGAGCGCTCCAGCACTTCAGACAGCAGTCTTTCCCAGCAGTGGCAAAGCATGGGGGGGGCGCATGCACAGGGGCAGTTGCAAAATTGTTAGGGGGTGCAAAATTTCAGCACCTGATACTGCTTCAATGCAGCTGTGTGCTTCCGTCACTGGACTCCATTGAAAACAGCTTTTCCATGTGAACCAGGAAGTGAGCTTTCCATACAATGGAACAACTCTTCTTTTCTTATCTCTGCAGCTGCGATCTCTGGGATGCTGTGGATGCCGTAAGGCAGTTCAATGCACATGCGTAGTCTGCCCATTTCTCTCCCACCCCCTCCGCGCAGCCCTGGGAGCCAGCAACGCACGCTACACCACTGTTTTCCAGCTTTGCTTGGAGACAGAGGGAACTGAACCTGGAATCTTTTGCACGCAAAGAATGTGCTCTACCACTGAGCTTAAGGCCTTTCCAAAAGAAATAAGCATTTTGAAGTTAGATTGAAGTTGAGGGATCCTGATCCATTCTCAGCCTCTGGGCAGGGTGCAATCATTAACTGTCTTAATCAGCTGTCTTCTTAGCAATGGCCCAGTTTTGACAAGTCACCTTGTGAATCTTGCATCTCAGATAAACCAATGTGCTCGAGAATACATCTTAGAGATGTGGGTTTGGATCCTACGTTAACTCAATGAAGTTCATAGAATGAAAATACAGTTATACCTCGGGTTAAAGTCTCTTCAGGTTGAGCATTTCCAGGTTGCGCTCTGCGGCAACCCGGAAGTAATGGAACAGGTTACTTCCGGGTTTTGCTGCTGACGCATGCGCAGACGCTCAAAATGACATCATGCGCAGAAGTGGCGAATTGCGACCTGCGCATGCGCAGACATGGGTTGTGTTCTACTCAGGATGCGAACAGGGCTCTGGCATGGATCCCATTCACATCCAGAGGTACCACTGTATCCTATCTCCTCCTTCATCAGTCCTGGCTGAGACTGACGAGAGTTGAAGTCCAAAAACATCTGGAGGACAAGTGCCCTGAACTATGCCACAGTCCCAGGTTATTCAGCAGTGAGGTAGCTACCTTCTGTATGTGCTGAGTGATACTTTCAATTACTGCTTCACATGTCCTTGACATTCCAATTAAGTCTGGGCCCCGGAAAAGCCCTATGGTTGCATATCACCCCATCGCATTGTGTCTTGACAGTAATTCTCAAGTCATCGCCAAGCACCATCTGACGGAGGAAGTGACTAGAAAAACATGCAAAATAAATACAGCGCAAGATTGCATCAAATAAGAGATTCGCAAATCTTCATGCAGGGCAGGAAAGGTCTTTTGAGGATGTTATTGGCATGGCAGTGCACTTTAGGCATATTCATCATTTCAACGAAGCCTGGGATTTTCTCCCTGTTAATATGAAATATTCACGGCCGTAACTGTCTTGGTGAGGCACCGGGCTGTTTCTCATTAGCGGCGGTTGTCAAGGGAAAAAAAATGAATATGCTGCTGAGTGTTCAGTTTCTGGGAAAACGTGGTTGAAACCTGAGGAGCTCTCCCGATTCTGAGCTTGGAGTCAGATGTTTGCAGATGGGATGTTCCCCATTAAGTAATGACTGAGGGCCATATGGAACACATTACAAATCAAAATACTGATTGATGAAGTGCCTGTGGTCAACTTTCTACAGAAATGAGAAATTTGAATTTATTATCACATCAGCATGGGGCTGCTCTCACGTACAATCACATTCTGTTTGCCTCTACACTCCCCACAAGCCTCCTACCCCTCACCCACCCCACACTCTGAATCCCACCCCCAATGCCTCAGATCCACTACTCTATGATAAACAAAACCTAAGTAGAAGCTTAGTTTCTGCTTTGGTCATTAATTTAACAGATCTGGGCCGAGTCAGGGTATATGCCATCAGGTAGCAACATAGTAAAACTTTAATTTTTGTCTTGCTTTAGGATGCTTAGGTTTTCTAGGGTTCTAAAACATGTGAGGAGCTTGGATGCTTGCTGCTCCACAAGGTTGCTCTTCATGAGCTGAGACGCAACCTGAAGATTTATGAAAACTTACTCTACACTATTCTGAATATCTGAGATCCATTAGACACATTCAGATGCATGCAATTCATGTAATGCTCACCCAGTGGCTGCTTCTCTGCTCCAGAGTGTCCTTGGAAGGGAAAAGATGGCAGCCATATATTGGAAAATCTAAGAATTATAAAAGTGCAGACGTAGTACAGAAATAGAGCGATGCAAGGGATCCCTTGATCCAAACTTGGGGGTTTATTGACACAATTCAGCTTGTGGTGAGTGGAGACTCCCAAATCGCCCCGATGCACCTCATGATTCAACCCCCTTCACAGAGCTGATGCGCAGCCATAGTATTCTTTCACCAATTCAGGCCAAAAGTTATTCTCAGGGCTGGTTTACCCACTCCACACGCAGTCTGTGGGAAAGTCCCGACTTGTGCTGATTCTGCATGCTTAGAGGCAGCCCCTCCAATCTCTTTATCGCATGCACAATCCCAGGACAGGTAGCATCTCCCTTGCAGGGCTTCAGGAAAAACCTGTAGCTCAGCTCTTTAATGCCATGCCAATCAAGCACAGCATGTTTTCTAATCTGACAAATCCTTTAGTCTAGAAAGGTCCATCAGCAGGCTTCCCCCTTCTTTCTTTCTTTCTTTCTTTCTTTCTTTCTTTCTTTCTTTCTTTCTTTCTTTCTTTCCTTCCTTCCTTCCTTCCTTCCTTCCTTCCTTCCTTCCTTCCTTCTTTTTGAGGAAGAGGTTTGGGGATACTAGGTTTCAGGCTTGGTGTGAATCTGGAGACACTAGCCCCATGCACATTGTCTATAGCAAAGGTGGAGGAGAGAATGAGAAGATTGTATACCTCAAAACGCAGCAGTAAGATCCTCCATTACTGCTGGGGGTGGGGCACATCCCTAGAAAGATGGGGCTCCTGCAGCTTTAACAGTTGTGTAGAAGAGGGAATTTCAGCGGGTGTAGCCAGTGTCGGACCAGTACATTTTCCGCCTGAGGCTAAGGCCAATGTGGTGTCCCCATTCCACGTCCAAAAGCCAACCAAGGTGGCAGTTGACTCTTAGTTCAATCAGAGCAGTAGCTAGGTGATCATGCGCCCTTGGCAGAACTGTCCAGATTGCGCCCCTTAGCCATGGACAAATGAGCTCTTCTTTCCACCTCTTCTCCAACCCCCACCACCCATTCAATTCACCCTCTATTTAAAACCATTTCTTATGAGGCAATAATCAATATTTATATTTATGGACATATTTTTACGTGATTTTGTGCCCCCCAATCACCTGCAGCCCTGGCGGGGGGCCCACCTCACCACCCTCTAGCTATGGCCCTGAGTTCAATATTGGTGATGGGTTAGGATCCTCCACTACATCTGAGGGCTGTAGTTTAGGGGGTGCAGGATAGGCTGCATGGCGTGCATAGCTGTCTTCCAACACGTTGCTACCCCCCTCTAGCACCAGAATCTATTGCTGCCCGAGGCAACTATCTAACTCTGTCTTATGGTAGAGCCAGCCTTGGCTGCAGCTTGCATAAGCAGCTGCTCTATACCTCCTGAAATTCCCACTTCTTCAAGAGTAAAAGTGCGGCACCCCCATCCTCTTCTGCAACCCATCTCAACTTCCTTATGATGGTATCTTCCAAATTCCCATCATCAGATGGATATAACGGGCAGATCTACAAGGAGCAAATTGCAGTCCATTCCTTTCCATGCTGACTTCACTGATTTGGAACGCAACCCACCATCCGATCACATATACAGTGATACCTCGGGTTACAGACGCTTCAGGTTACAGACTCCGCTAACCCAGAAATAGTACCTTGGGTTAAGAACTTTGCTTCAGGATGTGAACAGAAATTGTGCGACGGCAGCGGGAGGCCCCATTAGCTAAAGTGGTATCTCAGGTTAAGAACAGTTTCAGGTTAAGAACGGACCTCCAGAACGAATTAAGTTCGAAACCCGAGGTACCACTGTAAAAGGTTTTACTTTGTGTTTTTGACAACCTTCATGGCTCTCCAAGTGTCCTGATCATCAGTCATGGGAGCTGAGGCTCTAGAGCAGGTATAGGGAACCGTGACCTTCCAGATCCTGCTGGAGTTCATCTCTCCCATCATCCCTGACCACTGGCCATGCTGGCTGCACTGGGTGCGGAGCTTCTGGGGTGCTGTTGCAACTATGCAACTATTATATCCAACGGAAGGCAGAAGGTGAGGGGCAGTGCCGGGGAGATGCTGGATTTTGGCATTGCACAGGGCACCCCTGAAATCTGAGACTCCAAGATCTGCCAATGTCTATATTGCCTGAACCACCCTTGGATGCCTTTTTGACCCGTCCACATTCTGCACAGGTATGCAAAGCAACGGGGAACTGGGCCCACCTGCTGCCCCAGCATTGGAATGAATGAGGATATTCTTGTATACCAGTAGAAGCTAATGCTAGCCCTTGGCTGAAAGGTTAACATCACTGATGGTGTCACTTTCTTAGAAGCAAAACAAAACAGAGAGACTGATTAAAATGAAACACTTGCCTGCATCTCTTGACACAGCAGTGGTGAGTCATATGTGATCAAAACCAGAGTCTTAGCAAAACCAGACTGCTGGTGCGTAACATCAGAAAGGTGGCAGAGCAGCTTTCAAACTGATGGCTGGGGGAGAAAAACCAATGGGAGCTGATGAGCATCCGGTTCAAGTTAAATGATCTCTACGGGTTGAGGGTCAAAATGTTTCATAGAATCTTTGAGTTGGAAGGGACCCAAGGGTCATCTAGTCCAACCCCCTGCAATGCAGGAATTTCAGCTAAAGCATCCATGGCAGATGGCCATCCAAACATCTGCTTAAAAACTCCCAAGGAAGGTTCGAGGAAGGCCCTCAGTCAAGAAAAGTGCAATTGAAATCATCAAGGCTTCAGATCACAGCTAATTTGTTCCCGTGACTCCAGTGGGACTTACAAGCACAACTTCCTTGCTCGGGTTTGGGAATGCAGACTTGCAGCACTTCCAGATCACCAGGGTTTTTTTCAGGTGGGACTCAGTGGCATACTGGTCCATGCAAGTTGTGGGATTAGAGTTAATTGGGAGGTCTTGTGCAACCAACTAGATATCGCATATCCTGCATTCAAAGATAACGGAATGCAACCAAGAAGGAACAGAGCTTTAATGGGGAAGACTCATCCTACTCTGGCATGATGAAAAAATTAAGAAACGGTCATTTCTATTCTGGACGTTTTCATTGGCAGTGTAGAACTGGATTTGGATTGGGGAGATCTGGGAGAATGTTAGCACCACACTATCCAGCAAGCTCCCAGTGGGGAGCTGAGTTCAGCTCTCCCTTCTTATTCTATATTTAAGGGCAGATTTATGCTAGTTTGATCATTCCATCTCCCCATGATACCTCTAGGTCAGGCGTGGGCAATGTTTTTCAAACCAGGGGGAACATTTCATTCTGGGCAACTTTTGGGGGGTCATGTGCTAGTGGCAGACAGGGTGAAGCCCGAAGGGTGCAGATCAGTTGCTACAATATCTACACGGCAGAACGACACAAAGTTAATAAATAATAATACGGTGTGTTATTGTTTTCGTTTGTTATGGTGTTATGTATTTTTGTGTTTTTATATTGTAAACCGCCCTGTGATCCTCGGATGAAGGCAGGTGTAGAAATTTTAATAATGGTGATGATGATGATGATAGTGATAAATTAGTTTACAGGAGCTTCATTCTCACCTGTTGCTGAATGGTGTAGAATGGGGGACAGGGTGTTGATTTAAAGCAGAGTCTCGTGCCCAGCGGAAGGATGAGGAATACGTGCTGCATACTCTATATTGCTTTATTTACAGTTCAAAGCTGGTATATTACAGAAAGACATCTTGCCTCTGCCGGAGCAGAAAATGCATCCTCTCTCCTCGACAGCTCGGAGAGAATCACACAGTGAAAAACAGGAAACCAGTGTACGTCACATCCAGTCTCCCTTTCCCGTGAGAAACTCCAACAGTACAGACTGTGGAATGTAAACACCTGTCTCGTGACAAGCAGAGCTGCACAGTGAAGGAAAGCAGAAACCAACATCCTCCCCTTTCTGTGAACATCACTGGGCAGCGTGTTTGCACAATATCAGTACAAACCCAACTTCTGCACATAGGTACAGTGTTGATCCCTCGATACAATCTTGGACAATACATCAGCAGGAATTTCATTACCTGGCATATAGGACACCGTTACGAGTCCCTTCTGAATACATTCCCTAGCATGCTGCAACTTTAATTGCAAGTGCTTTGTGCTTTGCTTACAACCTTCAGACTTCAGCAAAGCCAAACATGCTTTGTTGTCCTGGTAAACCTGGATTGGACATTTGACAGGAATTTTCATATCTTTGCACAATTGTACTAACCATTCACAATCCTTAAGTGAATAAGACAGTGCATTCAGTTCGGCTTCACAAGTACTTAAGCTAACTGTTGTTTGCTTCTTGCATGACCAATCAAACAGACTCTGATTGTACATATAGCAAACTCCAGACGTACTTTTCCTGTCTGTAGCGTCACTTCCAAAACTTGCATCTGCAAATATCTCAAGACCACCAGACTTCTGATTGTTAAATCTCAGTCTGTAATGCATAGTGCCTTTCAAATACCGCGCTATGCGTTTCAGAGCTTTCCAATCCTTGACACTAGGATTGTTGACTTGTCTGCTTAGCAAATTACAGCTAACAGCAATGTCTGGTCTTGAACATCTGGCAATGAAGTTTAGCTTGCCTAGCACACTCCTGTACAGTGTAGTGTCAGAAAATGCTTCTTCCGGGTCAGCTCCCTGATAACCTGTTGTCATCGGTGTGTCTACAGGGTTAGCATCCATCAGATTTAGTTTGCTTAACACATCAGCAATTTTCCGTGACTGGTGTACTAGAATGTTACCATCTTGATCTCTCTCTATTTCCAGAGATAGGTAGTTGTTTACCTCACCAAGATCTTTCATGTCAAAGTGCTCTTTCAGTTGAGCTAGGGCGCTATTGTACATTGCGACATCTTTCCAAAAGAATAATAAATCATCAACATAAAACAAACAGTACAGTTTCTTTTGCCCCTCCTCTTTGACAAATACACATGGATCAGCTTTCCCTTGCTGAAAACCTAGAGAAAACAATACTTCAGTGAGTTTTGTGTGCCAACACCGTGCACTTTGTTTGAGACCATAAAGGGATTTCTTCAGAGCACAAACAAATCCCTGTTTTACCTGTACGCCATCAGGTGGAAGCATATAAAGTGATTCATCTAGAGATCCGTACAGAAAAGCTGTATTAATATCATGGTGACTAATGTGTAGATTTTCCTCTGCAGCTAGCTTGAGCATAAGCCTAATGCTTTCATATCTCACTGTGGGTGAATAGGTCTCGTGATAGTCTTGACCTGGTACCTGTGCAAAACCTCTGGCTACCAATCTGGCTTTGTGTCTGACTATCTTGCCATTTTGATCTGTCTTCGCTTTGAAGACCCATTTGCTTCAAGCAGTTTCATTCCTGGAACTACTGGAACTAGCTCCCATGTTTTGTTCCTTTCTAAGGAATCAAGCTCAGCCTTCATGGCATTTAACCATGGCTCAGCTTCCTTTGAATCCAAACCCTGGATTTCTTGGAAACTTGAAGGTTCAAATACCTTCTTGGAGCTTTTAACAGCTGTTACTGCTATCGTAGCAAACTCATCAGCAAATCTCTTTGGAGGTTTGCCTTTTGTGGCTCTCTGTGACCTACGAATTAGCCTTAAGTCTTCAACACTCTCCTCTTCCTTCTTAGGAGAAAAACGACCTATTGTGAACAATGGTTCCTCCAATTCTTGATCAGAGCTTTCAGAGGGTCGCATAGAGGCTTTCGCACTCTTGAAATCCTCTGAATCACCCGATTCAGTTTCAGATTCAGACTCAGAACCTTCATCAGTGGGTGTGGGCTGTTGTGGTTGCTTTGACTATCCTCAGTCTCATCACCGTCATCAGGATAACATTGGAAAATTCCCACATTCTCCCCCACTTTGCATTGTACTCAACACTTCTCGTGAGCTTAATTGTCTTAGAGTCAGTCATCATTATTCTGTAAGACCCTTTCTGATAACCTAGAAAGATACCATGCAATCCACGCTTGTCTAACTTGGAGTTTTGTGGTGAGCGAACCCACATGTCAGAACCAAAAATCTTCATGTGTTTGATGTATGGCTTCTTGCCAAACATCTTCTCATAGAGGTACAACCAATCGCTGAAGATAACCTGCGATTGTAACTGTAAACAAAACACGAGAGAGATTCGGCCCAATAACTCTCTGGAAGATTGGCATCATGCAGCAAGGTTTTTAACCCTTGAAGCAATGTCTGATTTGCCCGTTCCGCAAGTCCATTCTGCCATGGCGAGCGAGGACTAGACAAATCGTGTTGAATTCCTTTCTCAGTCAGAAAAGCTTCAAACTGCTGAGAAGTGAATTCCCCCGCGATCACTGAAAAGAGTCTTTATCTTCTTACCATGCACATTTTCCAACCAAGCACAGAATTCCTTGAACCTAGGAAAAGCCTCCGATTTCTGCTTGAGATTGTACACAAAAATATATCTAGAAAATGCATCAATGAGAACCATGAAGTATCTATTTCCACCCAAAGAGGGCGCTAGTGGTCCAACCAAATCAGCATGAACAACCTGGTATGGTTCTGTAGCTTTCCTACTAGACACCTTACCTTTCGCAGCCATTTTCACCTTGTTTGCTGCGCATGCTTTGCACTTCATGTGGTACCTGCAGGGTTTAATAGTCATACCTTCAACCAAGGCAGGCATTTTAGATACTGCCTCAAAATGCAAATGACCAAATTTTCGATGAAAATCGTGAATACATTCTGCATGCAAACTTTTGTTAGAACCTGCAATGCAACAAGTGTCATCCTGCACCACATCATCATAATACAAAACAAACAAATGATCAACATATTCTGCATGCAATACATAATCATTTTTCTTTGTGATGATGCACTTCTTGTTCTTGAAGGAAACGTCAATGTTCCGCTCATTCAGCTGTCCAACGCTGAGCAGATTATGTTTGGCGTCTGGCACGTAAAGCACATTCTGTATCGATAAGTCCAAACTGTGAAGAACAACAGTTCCGTAGCCTTTACTGGGAATAGTGTGGTCATCCGCCTGGTGAATCGCACCTTCCTGCGGTGTAAAAGACACAAACAGTCTCTTATCGTTGCACATGTGGTGGGTGGCCGCTGAATCAACAACGAAGAAAGATCTAGACGTCTTCTGGACCTCTGCAACCTTTGGAGTGAAGCGTGAAACCATAGCCTTGTGCTGCGTTGTCCTAGACACCGGACCTTTGCCTTTGCCTCGGCCTTTTCCGCGCGATGAGCTTTCGCTGCGCTGCTCTGTCTTGGCCCTGGGATGTCTGCATTCCCTCTTCATATGGCCTAGACGTCCACACGAGTAGCATTTCACTGCCTTCAAAGCTTTGGCGCCATCTGGTGGTTCCACTGCACTATGGGATGACGTCTGTGAAGACTCCCCCTTGCCCATGCAGTCATTTAAAATCACGGCAGTAACAAAGTCCACTGTCAGCTGAGCAGTTGGTTGCACAGCAATCTGGGTTGCAACAGACTCCCAACCTGAACCCAAAGATTGTAGTATCATGAAAGAATACACAGCCTCTGGAAAGTTGAGTCCTCTCTGTTGCAGCTCATGTCTCAGATTTTGCATCTCCATCAGATGTAAACGCACATCTCCACCTTCAGCAAGAGCCATATTATGCAGCTTGTTAAAGTAAAACATAGTGGATCCAGCTTCTGTCCTTAAGTGAGCCTCTCTCAAAGCGTCCCAAATTTCTCTGGCTGAGGTCTTATCACGCAATAGACAGAGCTCTTCTGGGGATACTATCAATGTAAGAGTTCCCCTTGCTTTGGAATCCTTAGCTTTCCATGCATCTGTAACTGGAACTGGGGGTGTTTCTGTAATCACCTCAAACAAACCCTCTTTCCGCAGAATTGCCTCTGCATACTGAACCCAGTCGCTGTAATTTTTCTTGTTGAGCTTAGGAATCCCACAAGCATCCTGAAGGGCCATCATGACTCTGGCATTAGCCTTCAGCGTCATATGCTGCTTTAAATCTTGCTGCGTCACTGCTGCAGCTGCTTTATTACAAAAGCGCACTTAAAAGTTACTTTCGATTTCCCCAGCATAGTGACTTGTGCCTGGGAGCCTTTTGCCTATTCCCGGCAAAACCGGCTTTAAAAGTTCAAAGTCCAGCCATAAAGCCATTAACTTGAAGCTGGCAGGCTGCCCGGAGCAGTAGCACATACCTCATCAATCACTTCTACGCGCAGAGCAGATTCCGTTCCGATCTGTCCCTCTGCATTCCGATCCTTTGCCGGCACTCCGATTCGACTTCTGGGCCCATAACCACGTGTTGATTTAAAGCAGAGTCTCGTGCCCAGCGGAAGGATGAGGAATACGTGCTGCATACTCTATATTGCTTTATTTACAGTTCAAAGCTGGTATATTACAGAAAGACATCTTGCCTCTGCCGGAGCAGAAAATGCATCCTCTCTCCTCGACAGCTCGGAGAGAATCACACAGTGAAAAACAGGAAACCAGTGTACGTCACATCCAGTCTCCCTTTCCCGTGAGAAACTCCAACAGTACAGACTGTGGAATGTAAACACCTGTCTCGTGACAAGCAGAGCTGCACAGTGAAGGAAAACAGAAACCAACACAGGGATGGGACAAATTAGGAATGCGGGTGGCACTGTGGGTAAAACCTCAGTGCCTAGGACTTGCCGATCGTATGGTCGGCGGTTCGAATCCCCGCAGCGGGGTGAGTTCCCGTCTTTCGGTCCCAGCTCCTGCCCACCTAGCAGTTCGAAAGCACCCCTAAGTGCAAGTAGATAAATAGGTACCGCTTTATAGCGGGAGGGTAAACGGCGTTTCCGTGTGCTGCGCTGGTGCTGGCTCGCCAGAGCAGCTTCGTCACGCTGGCCACGTGACCTGGAAGTGTCTCCGGACAGCGCTGGCCCCCGGCCTCTTAAGTGAGATGGGCGCACAACCCTAGAGTCGGACACGGCTGGCCCGTACGGGCAGGGGTACCTTTACCTTTACCTAATTGTTGTCAGTCGGAAATGAAAGTCCCAGAAAGAACATGACACTTGGGTAATTCTTGGCCTACTCATTTCCATTGTCATCATCAATGCCACTACCAAGGAGTTTAGGTGGCCTAAGAAAGGGAGAGGACCCTCAGGCCCAGAGGCCAAATGTGGCCCTCCACTTCTTTCTATCTGGCCCTCAGGACTCTCCTCAGGCCACACAGATTCCTAAGCTATACTCCTTGGCCGCCCTGCTTTGCACACACTATTGGAGTGTTTCTGCCTAGCTGGAGATTATCCTGGAATTCTGCTAGTGCCTCCTGCTTGCCTGGGTTCAGGACGGAGAAAGGGGTGTAAGTGTTCGTAGAAACCAGACTCTTCTAGAAATGCTAAACTTACATTTGTTGCTCTGACCACTTCTGGCCCTGCCTGTGACTGGCCCTTGGAAGGTTGCAGAATGCGGCCTTCGGTCTGAAAAAAAGCTCCCCACCACTAGCCTGAGAAATTGCAGTGAAGGTTTCAATCTGCATGGACCTTGTTCAGAGGACTAAGATGACTTAATGAATACGGAGGCTGTTGCATGTAGTTACCATATGAATAAATACCGTATGAATAAGTGGGGCTTCTCTGAGGTGCAGAGAAAGAAAGAAGAGAGGATATCTGAGGTCAGGCTTGTCTGAATAAAGAAACTTTGAACAACAGAGACGTTGGTTTAAGATTTGAGGAAAGTTTTTAAAAAGAGAGAGAATGAGAGTAAATGAAGCATAGTGGAATATTAGCGCAGCTTAGCAAAGGAGCCCAGAACAGCCTGCCAATTGCTTCCAAAACACATGCAAGTTTAACTTTGTTGCTGAGGGGGAATTAGGGCCGACACCGCTGGAGTCTGACTGGAAAAAGAAAGAAAAGAAAGAGGTCCTCTTGAAGAACATGAAAGCTTTCCCCCTCTCCTGCCTTTTATTGACTTCGGATGTCAAATGTGGCCCTCGCCAGCAAGTTTCCACTGAGGTACAAAGGTATGCAGGACTTCAATGGGGATTTGGTTCTCCCAATTAGAGTCGGAGGGTCACTTGCTGGCAGGGTGTGGGCCTGCTGGAAAAGAAAGCAGCCCCAAGCAGGCTGCATGAAAGCAAACATTTATTATTATTTTTTTAAGGAGGGGGGAATGAACTTTTTTTTTAAGGAAGTGGGAATGAACAAATGTCACCAATGATTTTACTGATAATTACACCTAGCAGCGAAGTCAAGAAAGCAGATTTGAACTGATAGGACCAACAACAACTTTCTTTCCTCTATATATATATATAAAAAGAAAACTTTTCAGCTTTATACCAATGACCTCTTGGAAAATATATGAGAGTGGCCAGTGGATGTCTAGAAGTTACCATAAAGAAGTTGCTTTTTTGCTAAGTGTGTGGAAAAAAGGAAGCTATTGTATTTGGGTGGGTACTCTTTCAGCATCAGCAATATTCACTTCCATGCTCAAGAGTCGAAAGTTCCCAGTTGCCTTGAGGACATTAAATCTGATGAAGTTGTAAGAATGCCTTATACAGTGTTGGTGTATTATTTGTCCGTCTGGTCCGTGGTGACTGGTGCTCATTGGAACTGATAGGGCAGAAGGTAGGCAGACAGACCATGGCTACAGAGCCAATGATAGGCAGAGCCAACCAAGGCTGAATCTACACATATATTAAAAACACTGTGAAAATGCTTTTTTAAAAAAGAAGTTTTAAAATATATATGGAACTTGCCATTAGCTCACCAGCGCCATCGACTGTCACATTTGTATTGTGGTTGTTTAGTTGTTTAGTCGTGTCCGACTCTTCGTGACCACATGGACCAGAGCATGCCAGGCACTTCTGTCTTCCACTGCCTCCCACAGTTTAGTCAAACTCATGCTGGTAGCTTCGAGAACACTGTCCAACCATCTTGTCCTCTGTCGTCCCCTTCTCCTTGTGCCCTCCATCCACACCAGTGTGGTGTAGTGGTTAAGAGCGGTAGTCTCGTAATCTGGGGAACCGGGTTCGCGTCTCCGCTCCTCCACATGCAGCTGCTGGGTGACCTTGGGCCAGTCACACTTCTTTGAAGTCTCTCAGCCCCACTCACCTCACAGAGTGTTTGTTGTGGGGGAGGAAGGGAAAGGAGAATGTTAGCCGCTTTGAGACTCCTGAAGGGGAGTGAAAGGCGGGATATCAAATCCAAACTCTTCTTCTTCTTCTTTCCCAACATCAGGGTCTTTTCCAGGGAGTCTTCTCTTCTCATGAGGTGGCCAAAGTATTGGAGTCTCAGCTTCAGGATTTGTCTTTCCAGTGAGCACTCAGAGCTGATTTCCTTCAGAATGGAGAGGTTTGATCTTCTTGCAGTCCATGGGACTCTCAAGAGTCTCCTCCACCATAGTTCAAAAGCATCAATTCTTCGGCGATCAGCCTTCTTTGTGGTCTAGCTCTCACTTCCATACATCACTACTGGGAAAACCATAGCTTTAACTATACGGAACTTTGTTGGCATGTCACATTTGTATAATACACTACACTTAAAACGTTATTTTTGCAGCTGTATAGCTGAGTCCCAATTCTAGTTTCCTCCCCATCCTCCTCTCTGCTGTGCTCTACAAGGACCAAGGAAGAGGGGGAAGCTGACTTGAACTGGATATAAGATGGTGGGAATGGTGGTGGGAGGAGGCTAACTATGAGCAGACTGAGCTTGCATACCCTCCAACATGTTTGGATGCCCCAAAATGTGTGTTTTTGCTTGGCCTTCTATAGCTGATGACCTACTCCCTGATTTGAAAAAAACAAAGTTTGGCTGTGCTTTAAAATTTGGGCAAATAAAAAAGAAGCTGTCATTCCAAACCTTGCAGTTTGCTTTTCATGTTAATCAGAACCACATCAGAAATGTATGTTCTCTGAATTAAAGAAAATGGAGGGGGAATGACTGGGTCAGTTGTTGATGTAATTTGCTAAGAGCGTGGAAAACAAACAAACCCCGAAACAAATAGTTCTAAATTTAAATAAATTTAAGAAGGCTTGTGACTGATCCACTATTAAAAATCCATTTTAATAGTTGTAGCTTATTTTCTTTAATGAAACTACTTAGGGAAGTATTGAAATGCAATAATTAGCCTAAAAGGCCTCATTGTTTATGTCTTTTGATCACTGTAGCTTTTTGGCAGAAGAGTGCAGCATTTCAGTATCCTTGAGAGGGATGAGTAGGTTTTTGACTGCCATCCAGGGCTTTGTCAGTAACAGTATATGCCTATGATCCTCAAGATGTAGATAGATATCATCTTATTTCCTCTCATCAAATGCTTTCATAATAAATGCACTTTTTGTTATGTTATGTTATACATTGTCCAGTGAGTTCCTGGAGAAGCAAATGACTGAGAGGAGGAAAGAAAGAACACTTTCTTTCCTTTTCCCTTTTCCTGGCGAGTGCTGTTCGCCGTAGACTTTTCGTATTTGTAAAAGAAATGATGCAGAGAGGAGGGAGGGAAGGAGGGAATTCATGACTGAAATGGTGAGCATCTAAACCACAAACTATGGCAGGAGGAGCCTAGGGGCCAAGAAGCCGCTTCGTCTGGTTCTTGGAGGATTCTGCCATATGTGTGTGTTTGTGTGGTTAAAATAAAGGGCTGCTCAGTTTTACTTGAGAGGAAAATAGCATTGAGGACTTTTCCACATGCTAATATTCTTTCCTTCTTTGGTTCTTCAATGCAAAATGTGCTGGCTCATAACTATTTTGAGAACCTATGAGATGCCATGGGCATTTCATATACATTGCTATCTCACAGCTCAGTGGCTTCATAAAACATACAAAAGTGTCTTCCATAACTGCAAGGCCCTCAGAATGAAGCAACAATTTATTATCGTGTTCATAAGTAGAGTCTTGCCGTACCATTTTTGTGGGTGATATTTAAAATGCAGTCAAACTAGCAATTCAAGTTTTGCTAGATAGGCACATGCTAGGAGCGGAAGCTCACAGAGTCTTCCTGTAAGTTTGCTAGAGAGGTCTCTGTGAGAGACACTCCCACTGTGCTCTGACAGTGGGAGGATGCAGCAGCCTGGGTACACACTTTTCTATCACTTTCTCTTTCCACTCTGCCAGCAATGTGAGAACACTTGCTAGTCTGAGCGCCAAGCCAAGACTCCATTTAAGCTAGACTTAAGTACAGTGGTACCTCGGTTTAAGAACAGTCCTGTTTATGAACTATTTAGTATATGAACTCCGCAAAACTGGAAGTAGTGTTCGGGTTAGCAAACTTTACCCCGTTCTACAAATGGAAGCTGAATGGTGGAAGGGCACCGGTGGCAGGAGGCCTCATTAGGGAGAGCGCACCTCGGTTTAAGAACAGCTTTGGTTTAAGAATGGACTTCCAGAATGGATTAAGTTCGTAAACCGAGGTACCACTGTACAGTCCGTCTTTGTAACCAAATGACCATTTTAAGTCTGCTTGAACAAAGCTGCTGCATCTGTTGCAAGTACTCTGAGTGAGTAAATGTTTTTTTTTACCTTTTACAAGACTGTGTGATTGTGGGGAGAAAAGGGGGAAATAACAGGAAAATCCAGTTTGCCTTAAAGCATCCTGGATTATTGAAACTAAAAGGCTAAAACTAGCCTAAGCTTCCCTTTTAAACTGCAAAGGGAACCACAAAGGGATCTCACAAATGTGAGGAAGGAAGGATAATATATAATAAATATATATAATCTCCTAGCATCTATTCACATCCCAACATTTTGAAGAAGTCAGATTGTGCAACAAAATACAATTCCAATCCCCAGACTGTTTTCTGGAGAACTGCATATCCCATGACAATACAGGAGTTCACCATCCTTGGTTTATGGATGAAGTTTTGAGTTTGGAGCTGAATAGACAGTTTCCAACACAAGCTCCATCATGGAGCAACCACTGCTGCCTTGAAAAGAGGTCATAAAAATGATAGCCTAGCTAATTCTTAAAATGTGAATGACTCCACTACTGGAATGAATGAGGAAGCCATTCCAGACATCAGAGCTCCATGTTCAGACTGGAATTATGGAAGTCCATAATTATCCCATTCTGCTAGAGCTTTGCTGAGGAACTGGTAGCAATGAGATGGTAGCTTCTTGAAGTCAAGGTGAGGTGAGGCAAATCAAAATAACCAACCCCCCTAATTATTCCTCAACTTCACCATGAAGTCCCAGGACACACTACATCTAAGAAAGAAAATGCAATACTATACAACAAAACAAAACAAAACGAAACAAAAATCCCACCCTAAAATACAAATCAGGTCTCTGGCCAGTTCCCAGTAGACTCTGCCAGTTGCTCTTTGAAAGATGTTGTCTCAGCAAAGGACCAGAGTAATCTGAAGGTTGAAGAAGGTTGGCAAGGTCTTTACTTCCAGTGCCTCCACCCCCTGGTGTCATGCCTGCAATCCCTAAAGGACCTGTAACGTATTCTGCAATTGCCTGCTCCTGCATGGCTGTGGAGCAGAAGGCATAACCCCCAGAGTCTGAGGAAGGTGGGAGTGTTGTTTCATCATGCTGGGATGATGTACAAGGGGGTGTTCCCCTCCTAAGGGGGATTGATCTGTGAATAATCTGAATAGGAGTCCTCTTTTTGGCAACACTCAGACCTGGGTGTAAGGGCCAGGACAACAACAGGATCTCTATATCAGGACAACACTGTTTTGTGTTCTGCATGCTTTTGTTGTCACAGAACACACCATTAACTCATGGGATTCATAAGATGGCATCCACAGGAAGGGCCACTGTGGTTTTAAGAAAGGAAAATAACGGAGGGTAGGTCTACCAGCTGCTTGGTAACAATGAAGGAAAAGGACTATTGGCTCCTTATGGGCTTCCCACAGGTATCTGCTTGGCTACTTAAGAAAAACAGGACGAATGCCCAGATGGAACTTTGGTCTGATCCAGCAGGTCTCTTCTTATGTTGACTGTCTTCTGGATGAATCCACCTAGCCAGAAAGTTGTCTTCACAGTGCATTTGTGAGAGAAAATGTAGGAGTTGACCATAGATCCATGAAGGAGTGGGATCTAGTCATGACCGTGGGTGGTCCTTCCTATGTGGCCTATGGCGCAGCCAAGACTTAAATAGCATCCAGCAATCATGGACTATCTCTGCCAATAGTAGCTGCGATTCATGAACAGCCTGAGAGTACTGAACTCTTGTCTTTGTGCTGCAATTATTCTGATAAATCATATAGAAGCACTGGTTGCCAGCTGGAGGAGGACAAGCTAAACTCTTGGCAGAACGTGTGGATTCCATGAACGCTGCTTTGGATTCTCCGATCAAAACACAACAGTAAAAAAATCGATCATGAGAATAATGAATAAGAGCACGGTTTATAGCGCTGAAGTGGGGGAAGGGCAGGACTTTCCTTATGCAAAATATGTAGATCCGTTTTTAGAAGGGCAGAGTTGGAAGGCCTTGTCTAGTACGCTTGCATTGGTACATCCAGCCTCTTCAAGCTGTATAATATTAATATTTGCAATATGGCTTCGGGAGGGATGAGGCCTGGGGGAGAGAGGACCACATTCATCCGCCAGGCAGGCTTCAGTTTCACAACCTCTGGCTTATATGGCCAAACAAATGTTGAGAAGGAAAATTCTGAAGTAATTGCTTGTTTATCATGTACTGGAATGACAAATTACAAGGAACAGCACAACTATATGCTCAATTAGGAATGCAGTACAATATTAAGAAGTCTTAAGTGCCTAACAGTTTTCTTGCAAATTGTTATTGATTTCCCTCCTCCTTGTAATGACAGCTGAAGAAAACAATGCAAACAAAACTTGTGGAGTATAATTATGTTCATGTTTAATAAAATAGCAAGGAATATAGGAAGTTGCCATTCACCAAGCAACCAATGTTCCACCTAGCTCTTAATGCAAACGTTCTTTCCAAGAAATTTCCTCTGTTGTAAGGCTTTTAAAAAAATGTTACTTTCCCCATGTTTTCCTTGTGCACACTTCCCCCTCATATTGGTTTTTTGAAGCACATTTCTTGGGTTGAAATTACAAAATTTGGAAAAGTTTCAAAGGATACCAGTGTTTCACTTCATGCATTGTTTCAGGAAGTGCAGATTAGTTAGGTTTGTGTTAAAATGTGAACTGAAGCAGATTTCTTCATTGTTCCTATTGGTGCAGACATAATTCTCCTTTCTCCTGTCTTGGGGAGCGAATTGTTTCCACAGAAATCAAGCTCACGGCTAATGAAACTTGATATAGGTCCTTTCCCCCTTGGGATCTCCCTGATCTGTGTTTTACTCTCTATCCAAACTGTTCTTTGTATTTCCTTTACTTATTCCAAACAGGCAGATACATTCCTTGGCAACGCTCTTTTGTTTACAACAGGCGAGATCTCCCTAACAAGGTAGTCATGGGATGGGAGGAGGAGAAACTAAACAGTCTCTGACTGCTCCCACCCATCATTCTTTAGAAGAACCATATCACCAGAGAACAAATCTGGATCCCATATAAAAACTGAAGCATTTGAGGAAATAGTAGAGGATCTGCAAAATCTTTATCAGTGTTATTGAAGAGCTGGGTGACTCTCAGCAGGAAAAAGGAAGGAAGGCAGCCGTAACAGGGTCACAAATCATTGATTAGGTGTCCCCTAATTTTGGACCACCACGGTTGTGTCTTGCACATGCAGAGGGTAGGAAAAGTTGGAAGATTCCCAGAGTCTTTCAATGCCTCTCTTCCAGGACTGGTTCACACATGCATGTGCAACAATTGATTATCGCTGTATGCTGTGGAGATGGCCTTTCCATTCTCCCTAAACAGATTCATGAGGCATCTATAGCACCATTGATTTGGTTCAGGGCCCAATTTGGTGATCCCGATTAGTCTCCAAACTGAACCGGACAGATCCACCTGCAATTTGAATTGGGGTGCTTGCACAGTCCCAATCCCTAATTAAATATGTGGTTGGCGGCAAGGGGGGGGGAAGAGAGGAGACATTCAAGCATCGTCTCCCTCTCCAAGCTCTCCTTGCTGCCCCCCATTTTTCACAGGCCTGGTGGACCTGATCCAGGGCAAATTGTGGCTGCCTTGAGTTGCTCTGGACAAATCCCATATCAGCCGAATTCATTTTGGAATCTGGGATGCACAACTTGGTGCACAACGCTAGCATCTACATTGTTATTGTTTAGATGCCAGTTGAAGACCCTGTGACTACTCAAGGCTTCTCATCAGCGTGTTTCTGCTATGCAACTTACCCCTTCCCTCTCACCCACTGCTTCTGCCCTCTAAACGTCCCTTCAGAACTCATGAAGATTGGCAGGCACATATTTGCGAAACATGGAGAAGGCATAATCCTACCCTGAGAGAGTTGATTTGCATGACATACTCCGGTGCGAGTGCTAGACTGGAATGACATTAACAAAGCCTGGCATCCCAGTGAGTTGTCTTTTGAAGGGCCAGTTCCCAGTTGGTGTTTATTGTGTCCAATGCCAAAAGAAACAGAAAATGTATTTCACAATTTTGTCCCGTGCTGAATAATGACCTGGCTCCCAGTTGCATTCCTTTGCTCAGAACCTATCCTTCCTTTCTTTACATAGAGACGTTTGGTCAAGTCTTCTCAGCTTGGGTTCTTAATATCCGGCCACCGATGAATACGTATTCCTTTAAGTGAGGTTAAAATGATAGAAAGCAATCCTCTCTCCCTCCCTTATCCCAAGGGGGTGGCTTTGGCAAGAAGAAAAGGGAGGGGGTGACAAGGAGGAAAGGGAGGGGTTGGGGGGTTGGTGAGAGCAGGGGCACAGCTCCTAGTTCAATCTCAAAAGAACAGAAGTATTTAGGAACTCAAGCTGTTAAGGGCTGCATAGACCTAAACCTGGACATTGAATTGTGCCCGGAAGACAACTGAATAGCATTCCCCAGCAGGTGCAATAGAGATCGGAGAAACTGTGGGTGTCAGTTTCTACTTTTCCCATTTTAGATTCAGTTCACATGACCACAACTTGTGAAAATTCATCAGCACTTTACTGCAAATTTCTCCTACCATACACATTTTCTTCCTGTGCAATTCTGCCTAATATTCACATTTTTGCAAAGCATATTTTTTCTCTTTAGAGTCACACTTTACGTAATATCATGCATTTTGGATGTTATTCCCACTGATATATGCTAATTTGGATGCTCACTTTACCTTAGTATATGCATTTTTCTTATGCATGATTTGCCTGGAGGACTGCAAGGCAAAACACCCAGAGATGCGTGGATATCAGAGAATGGGTTCATTTCATTTCACATATTGTTTCAGAAGGTGCAGATCAAGTACATTCATCTTTAAATATAAACTGAATTGAATCCCTCCCCCATACTCCAAGAAATACATCCACTGCAAGAGACATCCACATACAGAAACTGGTCGTCATGAGCAGAGTCCTTTCCACTTAGGAATCAATATCAGGTTATCAAAATAATGGGGAGGTCTAAGTGAGTATCATGGAATTCATTTTTATTCTCATTTCTCCTTGTTTATCCCCCCCCCCCATAAATCTTTCTTTTATGGTCTTGTCACAAATGAAAAAGGGTGGGTTGGGGTTTGATAGTTTATTGGAACCCCTGCCATTTGTTTCCACAAATGTTTACATGCAAAAAAAGCAGGCGTTCTGCGGGAGATTTAGACTCCCTAGCAAAACCCTTTTCACCCCTGTAAAAACTTTAGATTTGGTCTGAATCTGGCTTCGGTCCCAGAACTTGTCATAACTTAACTTTATTATAAATCTGGAGTTCTGCTAGAATGCAGTTCACTCTACAACAACCGGTCTATGTCCTTAAAATAAGATCAAGAGCACATTTCTTTGGTTCATATTTTGGACACTGTTGGGATTTTGAGAGAATTTTTATTAGAAAACAGAATTATCTTGGTTTGGGGAGAGATAGCCATCAGTGACCGCAAGAAAACAAATGGTGCGCATCTGAAATATGTAAAATGATATGTCCTACTATTTAGAAGAGACCAAGGATGACTAATCATGTAAACAATGGTTTTCATACCACCGCACAAGAATTCTTTGGGTTAAGGAGAAAGTGCAAGCATACTTTGGCACAGAAGAAGCTGGGGATCAATCGTAAAGGGGTCATATATCTGAAAGGGGAACAAGGAGGATCTTCAGCAGCTCCTTTTAAAAAAAAGAATCAGTTTAACACATCTTCTGCATGTTGGAATGTAAGAGAAAAACATAAGAACTTGCTGGATAGGGCTAATAGCCCATCTAATCCAGCATCTTGTTAGGGATGGGAGGGACAGACTTGACACTGGGATGCTATATTTGGCAGGAACACTGTGGTTATTGTAACATCAGAGCTCATCTTGAATTGCTGTCCTGATCCTAGATGTAGCTGTTCAATGAGAATTGGCATCAAAACAGGCTTGGGAAACCCTGTGGTTGTCCAAAGGTTACTAGACTACAGCTCCCATCATCAATGTGCATTTGCTATGCTGGCTAGAGCTGATAGGAGTTGGAGTCCAATAGGTCCCCTCCCCCTGCACCAAAGGGAACGTTACTCAAGAGCTAGCAATGGTAAGTGTTCTTCTAGTAGTTTCTCTTTTGATTTAGCTGGGGAGGAACCTTACTGCACAACTTGGAAAGCTATTCCAGTAAGAACAACTTGGACTTCAGTTGGGGAAACTCTCTCTCTCTCTCTCTCTCTCTCTCTCTCTTTCTTTGTGTGTGTGTGTGCGTGTGAGAGAGAGAGATGGACTGGCTGGATGCAATGGTAGGAGGCACCAGCTGGGGAACCCCCAAGGGAGGAAGGTTCAGAGCCAGGGGTTTGGTGGTGGGATGACAATGCATGGTCAGAAGCAGAGAGCAGACTGGGGGGAGAAGGACTGTGGGGACTGAAGAAGCAACAGGGTTTAGTGAGCGGGAAGAGGCTGTGTCAGAGGACAGTCCAGGCTCAGAGGCAGAAGAGGAGGGGGCCCAGGAGACAGAGATGAGGCAGGCTGCTGAAGTATCCAGGGAGTCTCCCCTCCCTCCTGATCTCCTAGACATGCAGAATAACTGGTAGACCTTTTCATTGGGGCAATATCTACTGGGAGGTGTTGTTGTGATCACTAGGCCTGCATTCTTTTGGTTTCTTTGAATAAAGTGTTAACTTCATTGTCATTGGTGCTTTTATCGCTGACTCCGGCTCCTGACAAGATCTCCCTCCACACATAGCACAGCAAATGGACTTCAGAAGGGCTCACTGATTGGTGGTTACAGCAAGACCTTTCAGAAACACACTCCCAGCACCAATCAGCTGACTGGTCCTGACAGCAGCCCGTTTGAACTTTAACAGGTGGGTGGGGCTGCCTGGCTGCCAATCAGCTTTTTGCTATTATGACATGTGATCGACATGTGTGGCCCTCTCTACCTGTCAACCTGGCCATGGAATGGACAGGGATTAAGACTCCTCCAAGTGCATGCATATTGAGAAAAGTATTGTTTTATACCTCAATAAACTCATAGCAGCCCATTTGACTAATATCCGAAAGAAAAATACCCATCTGTTTGTGAAAATAACTTCATGCATCTCTTATAAAATGCTTCGACAGTTCTTTAGAAGTGGAAATCCAACGAGGGTGACTGGATTTCAGTCCAGATCTTCTGCTGGGATTTTTGATCATATTTCACTTCAAATCACCCTTCCCTTCAGCTTCTGTTCCACAAACCAGATTTCTTTTTGTAGCCTTATGAACTTACATCTGACGTGTGTCTTTCTGCTGACGCCCTCAATATTAAGCAGGGAGCTGGGATATTAAACGCACCCCACGATGATATAAGCCATGCTTTTTGGATTGGTTAATTAATGCGCCACACACATCCCCTGAAGGAAAATTTACAGGGTCATGTTTTTGCTGCCTCAGCAACCCGGGATGTTTCAGCTACTAACCAGTTTCAGATGCTCTGTGCCTTTCAAGAAAGAATAGCCATCTTGCTCTCAGGGCAAGGGGGGGGGGGGGAGAAAGTAATGTCTCTGCGAAGGGTTTGTGTTTTTTACCAGCTGCTTTGTGTTGGGTTAATGGATGGCTGGAGTGAAGGATTATATCCTCCGAATTCTTCTAAAGTGGCAAAATATTTATTCTGAAGCTGAGATAGCTGACTTGAATGTGACTTTGGGGCTCCATCATTTTTATTGAACTGTTGATTGACTCGACTTGATTTAACCTCAAAATAGCTGTTCTGGCTTAGAACCACCGAGTTAGAGGTTTGTATGTATGTACACAACCTGCCGGGCCTCCCAGGAGTTGACATAAGTCATATTTTAAATATTTGTAAATGGGATGACTTAGCTGGAGGGATGAAATCCGAGTCTCCAGCCAAACAGAAGGTCTGCTTAATGCAACAAAGAGCAAATGCCACAAAACAGGGAAGAGTTTGTAAAAAGGGAGGCATATATATGTGAATGAAACTGCTTAATGTTTAAGTAGTGTGGGGTTTTTTTTAAAATAAAGCCACATTCCTTTCCTAAGGCAAGAAAGCACTAAACCTTTACATTTTCTGAGGATGGAAAAAAAGAAAAGAATAACTAAGATAGAAAGATAAAGCAGTAGAAACTAAGTTAGATCTTATTTACCCAAGAGATGGAAATGAAATTCCTTCAGACAACTTACTTACACTCCAGAATGAACAATGGCATCTTTCGTAATATGCTTGCCTTGCATGGCTGCTTCTCATTTTTGAATGAATCATGTGAAATTCTAATGGTGGTAGAGGTCTTCTATTAGACTCGACATAGAATGCCCCCCTTTAACAGCATATTATCAAATAGAATTTCAAATTTAGCAGAGGACACTGATTTATTCAACGTATGAGTTTCTTGGCTCCAAGTCACTTGCAACATTTGCAAACCTAAATCATAGCGTGAAACTAGAGAGAGAAAAGAAATAAAGCCATACAGTAATCTATGAAACAAATAACAGCAATAATTTCAGCAGCAAAACACACTGCTGTCTTCCGTCTGCCTTGAGAGACAATGGAGTGCACCTCTGGGGGTGAAGGCAAACCACTATGTTAGCAGCACTGAAGTGACCTTCCCAGGGCACAAGCCTGGGCAGTGTGTATGGAGATCCTAGGCTGCGTAGACAACAATACCCCCCTCTCAGCCTCACTGATGTGGTCCAATGGAAAGCAGTCAAAGTAAAAGGTAAAGGATCCCTGGATGGTTAAGTCCAGTCAAAGGCGACTATGGGGTTGTAGCACTCATCTCACTTTCAGGCCGAGGGAGCCGGTGTTTGTCCGCAGACAGCTTTCCTGTTCATGCAGCCAGCATGACTAAACCACTTCTGGCATAACGGAACACTGTGAGAGAAGCCAGAGCACATGGAAATGCCATTTACCTTCCCATCGCAGTGGTGCCTATTTATCTACTCGCACTGGTGTGCTTTCCAACTTCTAGGTTGGCAGGAGCTGGGACAGAGCAACGGGAGCTCACCCCATTGTGGAGATTCGAACTGCCAACCTTCCGATCGGTAAACCCAAGAGACTCAGTGGATTAGACCACAGTGCCACCTGTGTAGTAGACACCAAAATCACCATAACTTGTCAAATGTGTGGGAGAAGAGAAAAGCTTTTCCCTGGTGTTACAAGGATGTTAATGATGGAGACAGATGGGCCTCCCTGCGAAGAGAATCCCATAAGCGAGGAGGCAGAACTGAAAAGGTTGAGAAAGTTTGTAAGTCTCGAAACCTCCCTCACGGGGGCACCCAGAAAAGGACTTCAAATGAAGACTGAATGGTTTGAGTAGGTTCATATTGATGTTTCGACAGACCTAGGCCACATCCTCACTAGGCCACTACAGACCTAGGCCACCACACAGTTGTGACTTCCACCAAAGTATTCTGGCAGCTGTGGCCCATTAAGGGTGTCAAGAGTTAGGAGAGCCCAATCCCCCTCATAGAACTACAATTCCCAGAGTAGTTTAACAATGAATCCCTCTTGCCTAGGGAACCCTGGGAATTGTAGTTGAATGAGGGGAATAGGGCTCTCATGACAACTCTCAGCACCTGTAAGAAACTGCAGTTCCCTGGATTACTTGAAGGAAGCCATGGCTGTGGTATCATAATGCTTTAAATATATAGCGCAGATGTGGCCCTAATGAAAGCGAGCTGTATACTAGCATGCTTGAGAAAACATAAATGAAGGCTGAGACACACGGCAAGCTAATCTTTATCCTGATCTTTGCTTTGCCAGGCAAATGTGTCTTGAATTTAGCATGCTGTGAAATGTCTAGAGAGCACAGTTGGATAGGCAGTATAAAAACATGACTAATAAATAACAAGAAATAAATTTACTTTGGAACTTGGGGTGTGACCCGGTAATAGTTCCTCGATAATTTTATTTGGTTTCTTTCATTTTTCAACACTTCTGTGTTGCTTCTCATGAGAAAGCACACAGCAACTCTTGAAACATTGCATACAGAAAGTTTATGATGCATAAGGCCAATTAAAACAACGGAAAAAGGTATTGACTTGTATTTGAGGGTAGAAGGAAACAATAGGAAGAGGCTATGGTTGTTCCATCCAACCAACTGAACTTGCTTCTAGTCCATGCTTCCATGTAAATCTTCACGGTTATTGATATATTGAACACAACCTGGACAACGATGATGAAGGACGAATCATGAATGGTTGAATCCTATTGAAGAGAAGGTATGGGAAAAGTGCAAAAGAAAATGAAAGCCACCACAGGAAATCCAGGAGAAATGGCAGGAACGTTCTCCATGCCATGACCCTGATCCTTACAGAAGAGTGCATTTTCACCCATTGTTGAAATTTCCCCCATGTAATTGGTCCACTGAGTACCCCACTATTACCAGTTCCATTTTATCTGGATTTAGGGTTTCTTCCCATGCTGACAACCAATATATACTGCCTTATACTGGATCAGAACATTGTCAATTTAGTTCAGTGCTATCTGTCCACAGCAACTCCGCACACATCTTTGGCTGTGGGCTTTCCCAACTTTTCTGCTGGGGATGATTTGAATATGGGCTGAAACTGAGACCTTTGGAGAAGTATAGAGAGAGCCAGTGGGGTGGAGTGGTTAGAGTATTGGACTATGATATGGCCAATCAGGGTTCAAATCCCCTCTCAGGCATGAGGCTCACAAGATGACCTTGGGCCCATTACTGCTTCTTAGCCTAACCTACTTCAGGGGGTTATCGTGGGGATTAAATGGGGGGGGGGAACCATGTACACCTTTTGGAGTGCCTTGGAGAAAAGGTGGATAAAAATGCAATAAATCAATAAAATTATATACTTTCTACAGGGATATGGAGACTTCGTCCAACTTTGCATTAGTATACCATCCTCTAAATACTTACTGCAGAGATAGCTCTGTTCAGGATTTTTCTTCCTTGATTTCAAGGACGTTTCAAATGTATTAATGGCTTGATATTGCTAACTGGTGAAAAATCTCACCCAGCAATAATGTGCGTCAGCAGTTTTCGAAGCACAGATGGCCATTTATGTAACTCTGTTTGCAGTTGTGGCTGTGTTCCACGGCAACAGGGAAATGGAATACATCTGCACGCTACGAAGAAAATAGATGTACACGAACTGGATGCTTAAATGATGGTGAAGCAGGATTGTGATCAGCCATGAACTCTATGAACAGGAAGACTGGCCTGGCCTCAGCCATGAGCTGAAAAAAGGAGAGGTCCAATTATGACCCACATGGCTTCATTGAATGGAAGTTTGTTTGTGTATAACCTTCCTTCCTCAAGAGTTTCCTCTGAGAGGAAATGGCGTCACTATGGGGGTCAATTGTTGTACATTCCTCTCTGAAAATAAAATGCCACCCACAAATGCAGCTTAATTGAAAGCGAGCAAAGGGAACTCAGGTTGCCAAGAGCCCCGTGCTTAAATGAGGGGTCTCCTTCATGGGGAGGCATCAAAGGTCAGGGGCAGAGCATGCACTTTGCTCTAGAAGGTTCCAGCTGCGATCCCTAATGTCTCCATTTGAAAGCAGCAGCCAAGAGATGGGGATTCCCTCTCCCTGAGACCCTGGAGTGCTGCTGCCAGAGAAGACAGTACTGGGCTGGGATCTGCTCTTGGACCGCTGGCTGCCATTTCTTTCACCTCCAAAATGGGCAAATCTGTACATTTTGGTTTCTCTCAATTTCTCATTATTCCAGTCTTAACTTTAGTCCTCCATATATGCTTGTGATTTATTTGTTTCTTGGTGTGTGTTTTTAAAAGTCCTCATGAAAATTCATCCAGATTTTAGTGTGAATTTCTCATAGTGTACATATTTTGTTATGCCGCATCAGACCCATTTATGCAAAACCATTTCCCTGAATGTAATGCATTTTTTGGACGCATGACTTGGCCAGAGAACAGCATCACAACATTAAGAAAAGAGCACATTTTGAAGGATTGCTGTGTTTCTTCTGCTCAATTATTGTTTAGAAAAGGGTGGATTTTGTAGGTTTGCTTTTCGATGCAAACTGAACCAAATCCTTGCCCAAAGGACCCAGCCACAGTCAACCAGATTGGGGGTAAGGTGGGTGACAACAGTATAGCCACTATGGCTGTGTACCAGCTCCAGCCAAATCCCAAACCGAACTGGGCCAATTTGAGTAAACCTGGGATTTAGTCATAGTAGGTTGAGGCAGCCTTGGGCCGGACTGGGTCAACCCAGAGTGAACTGGGACTGCCCAAAGTGGGAGAGGGCGGTCTGGGGACAAGGAGAAGGTGCATCTTCTCCAACATTCTCCTGCTTGGCTGCATGTTTAATCAAACACTGTTCAAGGCCCCAAAGTTGGTTTGGACTGCATATCCAAGTCATTCATGAATCGTCCTTGGTTAAAAAAGGGTTATCCCAATTGTGTATATATGTACAGTCCTGGTAGTCATCATGCTTTTGGTGTGGCCACCATGTTTCCTCCCAAAATCGCCCAGAATGACACAAATCTGGGTCATTTGTAGGAGGAGAGAAATGATAGCTTGTCCACAGGCAAAGGCAACACCTTTTGTTATTGTTTTTTGTGGCTTATATACCTCAGTCAAAGTTATGAATCTTTGAGGTGCGAAAAGACTCTCTGTTGAGTTTGCTTGACTTGGCTGCTACCCCTCTGGAAAGAATCGGTAGTTTGCCGTCAAACAATTCAAAAACCTCTCCCATGTCATATTTGATTGCACTTGACAGTTGGCATAAAGTATTTCTCTAAAAACCTTACAGCACTTGGTATCTTTGCAGTTTCAATTAGAATTTGCGAGTTAACATTATATGGGAATTCTTATCTGACGCTTGCCAAAAATAAATTTAATTTAAAAAATAAAACACTTAAGAAATGTCAACAGGTCTCAAGTGTCCAAACTCGGAATTAAGCATTGCATATTCAAAATGTGAATTCAGAAATGGAAGGACAAAATTAGGAGACTTTCAGGATAATTGGTTTCAGCTCTAGACCTGTCCCTACCATGTTGCCCGCAGAACTATGAGTTTGTGGATTATTATCTTGCTGAGCTAAGCATTAAAGACTGGGCAGCCTGCTGCATGAGTTTTCTTTCTCCAATATTTCCCACTGTGATTAGTCAGTTCAGCATTTCTTTTGGCTAGGAAATGAGTGCAGCATTTTCCTTTTGTTATCTGCCGTGTGTGTGTGTGTGTGTGTGTGTGTAAAAGACAGAGAAGGGGAGAAGGAGAAAATGGTTCTTTAAGGGGAAAATTTCCACCTCTCGTTTTCTTGCTATGTACCCGGGTCATTAGGCAAACTGCACCACATCTGAAAGAACACCGCTTTTAAGCCCGGAATTCCCACTATCAGAATCGTTCCTCTGTGTTAAGCAACAAAAGCCATGGCATTGTCTCAGTGTTAAGCGGGTGTTAAAATGTGCATATCTTACTGGGCTCATTGTATAGGAGGTCCCATTCAGGGCAGGCCATTTCTGATCCACTGGCTGCTGTGAGCTCTCGCGTCTAAGACACACACAGTCGCCTCTGATCATATTAGCTACAGTTGTCCTCGATTAATTTGCTTTGTGAAAGAGCAACCACCAAAGGACCATCTGACTACAAAATTTAAAAGAGCCACCTTTGAGTTATCAGGGTTTTAATATGAATTCAATGGAACATTATCTTCCACCCACCCACCCACTTGCAAGATAGCTGGGAATGAAAAATAAAAGATATATAATACAGGAGTCCCCCCACTTATGCAGGGGTTATGTTCTGGGCCCCCACGAGCATAAGTGAAATTGTGTAAAGCTGGGAGCACCCTCTAAACACCCTTTAAAGGCCCTCCCTGCCACTCCCTCATCAATCCATACCAAAAATACTGTATCCAAAAATATCCACAACCAGATTGAAGCTCTGGGGTCAGCTGAAGGCTGTGCGGGAAAGCGGTTCTTGCTGCACTACCCCGTGTGTCAGCTGTAAGGCAGGGAGGCTGAGCAGCGTAAACAAAGCTCCACTGTGCCTCTGGTCTCTTTGGAGCATCCTCTACCCTCACTGATGTCCTTTTTGGGCTCTGGGGAGGGTCTGCCCTCCTCCACTTCCCTCTTCCATTGAACTTCCATCTCCAGGGCCTTCCCCTGTGATGTCACCTATTGGCTCCACCTGTGACATCACCAGGGGCCTCCTCTAGGTCTCAGGTTTGGGCCTTGAAACCTCAGCGTCTTGGATGTTTCTGACCTGGCAAACCTAATCCATTGAGTGGGCAGCTTGCAACTCTCCATGCACAAAAAGAAGATCCACATAGGAGGATGTTGAGCCCTTTACCCCAACGTCACCTTTCCTTGCAGGCTCTCAGTTTGGCACACATTGTGCCAGCTGCACTAAAACGCAGCTATCTATTATGCAAAGCAAATAGCTGCACAGCGGGTGGGGACGTGGATTTTACAGCGTTTTACCTCTTTGTGGTCCTGTTCCAGATTGCTTGCTCAAACCTTGCATACTGATTTCCCACAGGCATCTGATCGGCAACTGTGAGAACAGGATGCTGGACTAGATGGGCCATTGGCCTGACCCAGCAGGCACTCCACCCCTCTCATAAAATATCAAAAGCATAAAACCGGTATATATCAAATATCTCAATTGCTTTTCAAATTCATGATCGTCATTTCCTTATCCAACATGAATTTTTAAGCTTAGTGATGTGGGCTACAACTTACAACCACAGTTACCACTGAAATTCTTGGCCTGAAAGATCATGCCTGCAGTTGTGCTTGGTGACTGGAACGGAAGCTTCCAGATCCATTTTAAAATATGTTAGGCCTGGTCTATGGCACCAGCCAAAAAAGTTTTCCCCTCTCCCTCTAGGCCTGTCTACACTGGATCATTGAGCAGCACAGGGTCACTGAGCAGCTCAGATGAGGTAAATTTGGCTTCTTCTATCAACCTCCCTGCCCCACAAAAGCAGTTCCTCATCATCAAGATAATAGCTCTTCCTGCCTGTCATGATTGAGATCCAGAAAGTCTGCCTCTTACGCTCATCTTTTAATGTGGGTTGTTCCCCATGAGCCCTGAGCCAATCCGTCTCTATTTCAGCAAAATCAACCCGCTACTCTTCCACATGACTTCATAGTTTTTATAACATTTTTAATATGGGGGGTTACGCTTGCCAGCGATGTGCCAAATTTGGGTGGAAATGAGATGGATCTTGATTTGGGCAGCTCTATTTTGACAGGTAGAGATCAAGGATTTTCGCTGCTATAATAACCAATCATCCCTTTCATTTTTCTTCTGGTTTTCCTTTCCTGACATCTGAGATCCGCAACTGACTTCAGCGTAATCTTACTCCTCACTTTCAGCTGAGCAATTTTAGAGAGAAGTGCTGTAAGTCTCACAGATTTACTCAAATCTACTTGCGTTCCCAAGCCAGGAGGCCTGTGGTAAAAATCTCTCACTGAAGATGGTACTGGTTTGAAATCTGCAACTTTAGGGTTGAAAGCTGGCCCGGGGGTCCGATTTGGTGTCTCCATTCTCCAAACCACAGAGACCTGCCCTACACCTGATATCATATAGGGGGTAAAGATGTGGCTGCTCACAAAGCCCATTCCTCCAGAAAGCACGACTGAAACACACACACACACACAAACACACACTGTCCATCATCTGATGTGCAAGGGGTTCAATCCTGCTTGGTCACTATCTTCCCCAGTGCTGACCACTCACCTGCCACTCCCCCCTGCTGTGCCAGAAAGGTCATGCTGAGTCTCTCCAGAGCCCCACACCTAACAATGGCTCCCTCATACAATGCCTATGTTCCCAGTCTTTCCAGACTGAGTGAAGGATTGTGGGTGTGGTGGCTGTTCTTCCTACTATTAAACTTCAAGCAGCCTTTGTCGACAAAGTGGCAGCAGTGAAGGCACTCTTGGAGGCTACCTCTCCCAGGATTCCTTGCAATGTGAGTGACCAGTCACCACTGGAGAGCCTTGTGGCAATGCTACTGCCTGCTCTGCTACAGTGACAAAGTGGCGGTGGCACTCCTAGTCCTAAATGACATGTGGTTGGTGGACAGGTGGGCCAGGGGGAGGGTGTGCCAATCCAAGTCTCACTGTGGCTAATGGGTGGGCTGTCCCTGACTCCCCCCCACATTTCTTCATCCTCCAACCAGGCAAGCAAGAAGCATTTGCAGAGTGCAAGGACCACATTCCAACCAGCCCTTGAGGAAAGGGTGGAGCTGTCATGGAATTCTACTCAATATTGATCCAGAGTAGATTCCAATGTATAGTTAACAGAGTAAAAACTTAAACATGTTGCAGGATTCCCCCAAAATAGACCAGAGGCAATTAATATTTTATCCAGCAGAGCTTTACTGCTACTGAAGGCAAATGAGCATAATTTTCACAAATCCAATACATTCAGGATTTGCACTGTCCATAAGAAATCCAGTTGCAGCAGACTTAACTTAAACTTACAATAACTTATAATAAGTCTAAACCCCCAACCAGATGGGCAGGGTATAAATTTATTATTATTATTATTATTATTATTATTATTATTATTATTATTACAACACTATATACAGAACACCACACCAGAAGGACAGAAGACAGAAAGAAACTGAAACTCAGGCTCCTTCTGGCCATACTATTATAGTCAGCATGAACTTGACAGAAAGAGATAACAGAACTAGTTTAAGCCAGCCGTACTCAGCTTCTCTGAAGGAATAACCCAAACATCGTGAACATTCTGCTTGTTTCTTTCACGCAGAGAAGCTTCCAGAACCCTCTTGAATTAATTAGAATAGGAAAGATCTCTACATATCAGATCAATACCTTCTGTACTAAGAAATGCAAACTGACAGGACCAGGGCTGGTGAGGGGTGTGGCCTGGAGCGAGGGGGTGTGGCTTAGGGAGAAACCTCCAGAGTGGACAGTGAGATCTGGAGGACTGCATTTGGCCTCCTTGCCTGAGGTGCCCCACCTGTACCTCAGGACATGTCCACAAATTATCCATTTTTAAGACATTGTTGACTAGTGTCCCCAGTAGAAGAATGTTTCTATAAACAAGGGAAGGGAAAGCTGGAATTCCTGTGTCAGCATTTGAGAGCCAGAGTGGTACAGTGGTTAGAGTGTTGGACTAAGACCTGGGAGACCAGGGTTTAAATCCGCTCTCAGCCACAAAGCTCATTGGGTGATCTTGAGCCAGTCTTTGCCTTTTAGTCTAATACATCATCCATGTATGGCTCCTTGGCAGAAAGGCGGGACAAATCAAACAAACAAATAAAATAATAGAAGAGCAAAGTCTTTTACAGTGGTAAAGTGGTAAAGTACGGTGGTACCTCGGGTTACAGACACTTCAGGATACAGACGCTTCAGGATACAGACGCTTCAGGTTACAGACTCCACTAACCCAGAAATAGTACCTCAGGTTAAGAACTTTGCTTCAGGATGAGAACAGAAATCGTGCTCCGGCGGCGCGGCGGCAGCAGGAGGCCTCATTAGCTAAAGTGGTACCTCAGGTTAAGAACAGTTTCAGGTTAAGAACAGACCTCCGGAACGAATTAAGTTCTTAACCCAAGGTCCCACTGTACTGTGATCCTGTGAGCTTCGACTCACATGTGGGCTGTTGAAATTATAATGGTCGGTGACAGAAAAATGTTTTCCACCTTTGGTCCTTTCTCTCCCTCCCTCCCATCATATAAGAAGATACTTGGATTGCTCTCTCTCTCTCTCTCTCTCTCTCTGTGTGTGTGTGTGTATGTGTGTGTTGTGTGTGAAGCAGAATTTTCTGCTCCACTCGGAAGAGGAAACCTTCCAGGAAGAAAAGCAACAACAACAACAACAACCCCACTTGCTCCTTAGCAAATGGTAGAATTGAAGGAGAGAAGGTGGTAGGAAGCATAATGGGCTGTGGCGCTTCTTAAATCGCAAAGCGTCATGAGAAGAAAGGGCTGGGTGGGAGAGGGTTGCTATAGTGAGCGCAACCAGAGGGCCTTAATGTGTGTGCTCACTGAAAGACTGGCTGTTCCAGCTCAGTGAAGCAAGATGGACCCATGCAGCTCTCTGGGAACGGCTCACAGAAACGCCGGCCTCCAGTAGCGAAGCAGAAGTCTGAGGCTGTGCTGTTGTGAGGGATGGGTGGATCGGCCCGTTTTGGCTCCTCTCCGTTTCTCGTTTCCCCAGTTTTCGTTCTGTACTTCACAACAGTTTGCAAATATGTACACATCTTTTAATATGTGATTTTGCCTACTATACTTTCACAAACCACAGAGGATAAGGCTACTAGCCGTGACTGCTCTGCTCTGCCGCCATAGTTGGAGGCAGTAATGCTTTTAAATACCAATTGTTGTAAATCTCAGGAGGGGAGGGTGTGTTTGTGCTCTGGTCCTGGTTGGCAACTGTGAGAGCAGGATGCTGCACTCAATGGACTATTGGCCTGATCCAGTAGGCTCTTATGGCTTTTACGCAATTAAGTTTGAGTCAGAATAGACCTATTAAAATTAATGGACTGAAGTTAGCCATGGCTATTAATTTAAATGGGTCTACTCTGAGTAGGACCAGCATTGAGTTGAACCCCAATTCTCTCTAATATAATGCATCATGTATGCTATTTTTTCCAAATATATGCATTTTAATGCACATTCCCCCCCCAAATTTTTAATCATTTTATAACACAAATGAACAACACAAACATGAAAACAGACAATACAAACAGATTCTTGTCTTATCCTTATTTTTTCTAAACATTGTTAGGTGGGCTTCCCCAAGTCCCCCTTATCTGATTTTCATTTTACCTCCTCTTTAGCAGTTTACATATATCATAATTTCTAAGCATTTTTTAAATCATAGTTACTTTAACCATAAGAATCTTCACATTTTATCACTTGCGAATAATACTATTTTAAAATACACTCTCTTCTACTTCTAACCCTACAGCCTAAATCCACTTCCAAAGCTATTCTAAGATTTAAATATTAACATATTTTTTCAAATATTCCTTAAACTTCTTCCAATCTTCTTCCACCATCTCTTCTTTCTGGTCTCGGAGTCACCCAGTCAGTTCGGCAAGTTCCATATAGTCCATCATTTTTAACGCACATTTTAACCGAGAATATGCATTTTTGTGTGCGGCAATTGGCTGGAGAACTGCGCTGCAAATTTCGGAGGTGTGCAAATTTCAAAGTACGGATGTGTTTCAGTTCACAAATTGATTCAGAAATTGATTGCATAAGTTTGCCTTTAAGTGCAGAATGGGCCATGTTTCTTGCCCCAACCCTAGTTATTCTTCATGTACCCACTCCAACCCGCCCACCCCGATTAAACTGAACAATCTTTCATGGTACAGAAGACATTACAGTCATACAAATGAGGTTTAAATAAAACTGGAGAGAAAGATTTCAGGGTATCCATTTCAATTTCTACCTTCTTTCTGGCAGATGACCTGACTCTGAAATCAGAAGTGAAGCTGGACCGCTGAAAAGGAGATGGATATTCCCCCTCTTGAGAAGCTTGGCCTGGGGAAGGGAGGAGGGAGGAAAACGTGGATCAATATGCTACCAGTCCCTGAATCAAAAGTGCATCTGCTGATTTGTCAAAGCAACCTGACACAAAACCGCACCGAACTGCAGAGCTGGGAGAGAAAAGCCTGATGAAAAATTCTGTCCCTCATAGTGCCACCAAACATTTACGCCGCCCTTCTTCACCATGTCTTTTGATGGTTAAGGTATTTTTTTGTGGGACCTGCCTCTTCTGTATTGTTCTGGGCTGCTTTTCTTCGCAATTGTTTGACTTGTTTTCCTAACTGTATGAACTCCTCATGCACTCTTAACTTATATACCTGTGGACAGCTGGACAATGAAAGTGGATTCTGTGAGAGCTTATGGTGGCAAAGGGACTCAAGCCACATCCACCCCATGCATTTAAACACTATGTAGCTAAATCCAAGTAGCCTATAGTCTAGAAGATTGTATTAGAAAGGTCCTGTTCTCTTCCGGCATTGATGAATTGCTTTGCCAAAACCTAGGCCAGCGAGGGAGGAAGAGTATTCCCCCCCATGCAACCTTCCTTCACTGCCTTTCCTTCTAAAGAGTGGGTGGCATGCAACTCAGTTTTACTCAAAGTAGTCCTATCAAAAATAATGGGTCTGACGTAGGGCTGGATCCAACTAAGTTGTTGCCCAAGCTGAACAAAATCTGCTTGTACAATGGAACTCCCCCCCCCTGTGCTCCTCCTATATCTGCCCCGGAGGGTTGGGGGAACCACTGGAATAGGTTTGGGGGGCACATGGGGGTGGGGAGAATAGGGGGAGAAGTTCTGTTGTGCGAAAGGACCTTATTTTGCTCAACACACCCCGCTTAACATGATGCTGAATTCCACCCTCGGTCATGTTCATTTTAATCGGTTTACTCTTGAGTAAAACTTGGTTGACAACCATCCAGAGATTTCCAATAGCCCACTGGGAAGGAGATGGAGAGAGATGGTTGCTTACGGAAAAGCCAAATGGAAACCTCCAGTGGCTTGGCTTGGGACTTCCACTTCTCATATAGAACGAGCTTTGATTTTGAAGTTGAAGGAGAGGTTCAATTTCACACACCAGGCACTGCATTAAAAAAAGAGAGTAAAGACCCTGCTAATATGTTTTTCTCATTCTGGTTCTGTAGGCTAATTCCCTTCTTTAACTTATCCCAAGAGAGCCCCGTGAAACAGTGCAGGATCTGCAAATGGCCAAAAGGCTTTTTATACAAGCTTTTCTTTTCCCTCTGAAGTTGGGATAACTTCCTTTTTTTGCTATTGTTAAATGATAATGAGCAATAAAAGGGGTCCCCCCCACCTCCCCCAACAGACAGGCCCCAAGGCTGCGGCACATTACATGCGCATTTTTATTGGCCTGACGCTGCTAAATGGAGTCATTCTTCCAATGTAAACTGAAGTCTGCTGCCTTTGATGTAGGCAATGGCATATCTCCCTCAGATGTTTAGACTTGGATTAGAGCTGCATACAATATTCAGGAATGAGTTCTGGCAAAGCAGACAGGACGGCATATTAGGGATCTGATGAAAGGTTCCATCTGATCATTGCATCACCCGCAGAGCCTGCGAGTAATATCCTCGACAGACGCCAGTATTCTTCACTGGAAATGCCTGCACCACATACCTTCTGTATTGGGATTAGAAAGGCATTACGCGCCTTTCATGGGAGGCAATGAAAACCTGGTTCCATGGACACGATCCAGGCCAAGTTCCCAATGTTTAAATCCCATTGATTGCAATGTGAGAGACTTCGAAGGTTTGCTTTGCTTTCAGCCTGTAACTCAACAGAACTTGTAAATGCTTGATTTTGGCTGAATCATATTCATTCCATTTCCTATGTCTGCATGAAGATCTTACCTCAGACAATTCCTGCTCAAGTGGTAAATTAAGGCTACAGTTCTATTCACAGTTAAAGGTAAAGGTAAAGGGACTTCTGACCATTAGGTCCAGTTGTGGCCAACTCTGGGGTTGTGGCGCTCATCTCGCTTTATTGGCCGAGGGAGCCAGCGTTTGTCTGCAGACTGTTTTTCCGGGTCATGTGGCCAGCATGACTAAGCCGCTTCTGGTGAACCAGGGCAGCACATGGAAACGCCGTTTACCTTCCCGCCGGAGCAGTACCTATTTATCTACTTGCACTTTGATGTGCTTTCGAACTGCTAGGTTGGCAGGAGCAGGGACCGAGCAACGGGAGCTCACCCGGTTGCAGGGATTCGGACTGCCGTCCGTCCGATCGGCAAGTCCTAGGCTCTGTGGTTTAACCCACAGTGCCACCTGCGTCCCTTACTATTCACAGTTACTGGGGAGTAAATCCAGTCAAACTCAATGAGACCTAAGTTTCAGTCAGCAAACACTGGTAAGCATCCTTACACATACTTCATTCTTTCGCCACACCCTATTCCAAGAGCAGCAGAGGCTACAACCTCAGGAAGTTGAACCCAGATGCTATGACCCACTTTGGTGTTGGTGGGGATGTCATCTAGTGTCTGAAAAGGCATGCCTTATTCACAGTGCTTTTTTTCTGGGGAGACGCAGGGGGAAGCATACTCCTAAACATTTTGTGAATCTCAGTTTGGCCTCATTGAGGGGCAGGATTTGAATATGAGTAGGAAAATCAGAGTGCCCCTAAACATTTTTTAAGAAAAAAAGTACTGCATATTTAAGATCATGCCAGTTAACAGGAGGCAAAATTTGCAACCACCTAACTTTACCTTTACCTTTAATCATCACAGCTAAATAGCCAGACTTCTAGGAAGTACCATTCAAATTAAAAATGGCTGTTCTCCACATTAAATTGACAATTAAGCATGCACGCATGATTTTAAAGAGTGCTTTGGAAAAACTCTTTTTTATTGTTAGCATCTTTCATGAAAGTGTCCTGTTATGAACAGCTGAGCGTGAACACAGATGTATCATTTCAAGTTGTTGCACAATATGAAAGTGTTGCTGTTGTTCTAGGGTAAGCTGTTAAAAAAATGTTCTATAGATTTGCATTTTAAAACAACAACAACAACAACAACAACAACATACAGTTGTTCAGTATTGATCCAAGGATTAATTAGATGTTTCCTGGGATCCATGATGGAATCTTCCAAAATAATGCTCTTATTCTAAAAGCAGGTTTGGATCAGGGAATATATATATATATATATATATATATATGGAGAGGCTAGCCTTCTACATGCTGAAGCACCCTCTATTCCAAATCACTCCCCTTGGGGCTGTAAGAGGCATAGGGGGAAACCAGAGACACTCACATTCATTCATTCATTCGTTTGCTTGTTTCTTATATCAAACATTTTTGGCCCCTTCTTCATTCCTGAGCAGCATGCCTATCAGTTTTTTAAAAAGAGGAAGACAGTTATCTGCCCCCAGGCTTACATTCTAAAAGACATGACACAAAAGGAAAAAGCGAGGAGGAGGGAGGCGAGCAACAAACAATCTCAGGCACTAGTTCTTAAAGTTACATTTACCTCACAGCAACCATCTCTGATGGAAACAGCCCAGGTAGCCTGATGGGAATGGCTGCCATTTAGGTGACACTCGAGAGATGGCCAAAGGCAACTGCTTTCTCAGCAGAAACAGTAAAGTAGTCCTGCTTCCATTTTCTCTCCCTCTGCTTTGTAGCCCGATGGAATAGCTGCTCCTAGGTTGTCATTGGCATTCTTTTTATTTAACATTCTGCCAGATATATATATATATATCTGTTTACATAAATATGTTACCACATATGGGCAGGTCCTCATCCACCTTTGGTCGCAATCCGAATCGGTGGCTGATTTGAGAGGAAAAAAAGTATATTGGGAAATTCAGTCATTGTCCGCCCATATATGACATACAGTTTAGACCTCAGTTTGGACTGAGGGAAAATGGCCATGGTGGATGTCCATTGACTACAGTAGCCTCCCTCAATCTGTTGCCTTCCAGGAGATGGTGGACTACAACTTCCATCAGCCCCTTATTGGATGGTCAATGGTTAACAAGGACTGATGGGAGCTGTAGTCCAACAACTTGTGCAGAGCACCAGGCTGGGAAAGGCTGGATTTAAGCCTATGACATCAGTGACTCGCCTCACTCTCTGATTCCTCAGCACTATTCCCCCCCCCACATTTTTTTTATTTTTGGTGGGTGGGGGGGAATAATGCTTGTGAAATATGTTGCACGACAAGCGAACTGCCATGTTACAAACAAAAATGTGATGCTTTAATAAAGGAAAGGTTTTATTCCAATGTCAAATGAAGAAATCAGGCAGAAGGCCCACTATTTGTTAGAAAACCAGATTTCATAATGTACAGGTTACATAATGTACGGTGAGGATCGCTGAATTTCATTTTAATTTTTGAAAGGCATTTAATCCATATGAAATATCTCATTCTGCTCACAGATACGACAGCAGGAGCAGGAAGCAAGGGCAAAGTTGCCGGATGAAGCGTTTATTTCTCAGAGTTTTTCATTATATGCAAAGGGCAACTTTATGAGGAGCATGTAGTAATAACCAAAAATGGAGATGGCAGGGAGAGCAAACAATCTTTCTCTCTCTTCCTCTCCTCCCCTTGCCAATAATCTCTTTTCTGTTCCTTAGCTCTGAGAGCTTTTGACTCGAATATTAAAGATTCCAGCTTTAAGGCTCCTGGAGTGAAACTCTGGCAAAATGCCAGCCCCTCTGACTGAGCCCCAGAAACTCTCCAAGAAACTTCACAAAGAATAAGAAAGAAACTGAATACAGGCTGGAATGAGAAATCAGATATTCTCTCCCTCCTTCCCTCCCCCCACTCTCTTTTTTAAATTGATGCTCAGATCTGTGAAAACTGGCCCAGCCTTTGAATGGTAAAGCAATTCACAAACACTAGGAGAGGTTGTTTTGCTCCCCAGAACTGAACTGACAAGAAGTTCTTTGAGTGAGACCAAGGTTAACCCAAGCTTTTCAACAATGCAAAACATGGATTCCTCAAGTCAGCTTCATGGGAAGGTATTATTCAGCTGTCAAAACCTGTTTTGAGCTTAGAAAGAATGGTAAGGCAAGATTTTTTTGGGGGGGGAGGGGGGGAAGGAGGGATAAAGACATTAAGTAGACCTGGCAGATCTTTCCACCCTCCCAAATAACTATTTGATACAACAGCATTCGTAGAGAAAAGATTTCTTAATATATGATGAATTTCCCTGACAGGAGAAGAAAAGGCACATCATATGATAAGCACTAGCCTTGGAAAGAGCATTAGACTGTCATTAAGTGATATATACGTTCTTTTTTTAAGCGCTCGAGTGAAACTCCTAGCTCACATTCTGTTCCTTGCCCATGTGTATGAAGTAGATCAAAGAAACAATGCAAATATTTGCCATGTCATGTCTATTCATGGGGCATCACCGTCATCCCTAATTAATGGCATTCTCAATATCTTTCAGTTAAAAGTAGTGCAGCCATTTTGTATTCGGCCATGACATTTTTTTTACTTCATCCTTATCCTGCCCTTTCTCAGAGGACCTCAAGACTCTATACAGTCATACCTCATGTTACGTCCGCTTCATGTTACGTTCTTTCAGGTTACATCCCGCGGCGACCGGAAAGGGTTACTTCCGGGTTTCGCCACTCGGGCATGTGCAGACAAGCAAAATGATGTCACACGCATGCACAGAAGCGGCAAATTGCAACCCGCGCATGTGCAGACGTGCCACTGCGGGTTGCGTTCTTTTCATGTTGCGAATGGGTCTCTGGAACAGATCCCATTCGAAACCAGAGGTACCACTGTACTTGGCTTCACGCTTTTTATTCTCACAACAACCCTGTGAGGTAGGTTTGGCTGAGAGCCAGTGACTGGGGAAAGGTCACTTGGTGAGCTTCACAGGTGAACAGGCTCCCCTGGTCCTGGAGTGTTTCAAGATAGGGGCTTAATTTTTCACAAATGGATCACTGGCAAGAAGGCTTTTTAAAAAAAAACAACTTATTGGATTTTCCTTAAAAAGGGGGCCTGTGGAAATAGTAAAAATCTTGGAGCATATTACAGGGCTGGATTTAGGTTTGATGAGGCCCTAAGCTACTGAAAGTAATGGGGCCCTTTATATGTCCAGCTGTCCTTTGTCAACAACAAATTGTCGCTGTTTTTTGTGTCGAATACATGCTATATGGTAATTTATGGACCTAATAGGCATGTAAAGCCATTTGCACATAACAAAATATGTATCAAAGTAATTGTTGAACTGAAATACAATTAAGAAGTATATTAATACAGTGGTACCTCAGGTTGATTCGTTCTGGAGGTCTGTTCTTAACCTGAAACTGTTCTTAATCTGAACCACCACTTTAGCTAATGGGGCCTCCCACTGCCACTGCGCTGCCGGAGCACGATTTCTGTTCTCATCCTGAAGCAAAGTTCTTAACCTGAGGTAATATTTCTGGGTTAGCGGAGTCTGTAACCTGAAGCGTCTGTAACCAGAGGTACCACTGTAGTGAAATACAATTAAGAAGAAGTATATTTTTTGGAGGCCCCCAAGAGAGTGGAGCCCTAAGCTATAGCTTGTTTACCTTATACGTAAATCCGGCAGTGAGCATATAACACAAAACACTGATTTAACAATAAGCACCTATCTGGAAGTTCTCGTAATCCAATAATAAATTATTCTTAAAAATAAAATTTAAAAATGAACCCAGACATTCAGGCTCTTCCAATCAGCTGTGAAAGCTGGTTCTTTGTGAGCAGATCATCACATCATATTTCTGCTGCAGCAGAATCTTTTGCTTGCTGCAATCCAGACTTGACTCCAGACTCTGGTTCCAGCTCAAGTCTCCCACTTCAGCTCTTGCAAGAGACACCTAAGTCCCTGGAATGACAACTCTTGCTACAATTATGCCCGCTGGTAGCCCTAGCATGGCCATAGGTGAACTGCAACAGCTGAATCAATTGAAGGAAAGGCACTGACAGACCAAATACAGCCCATATTCTGCTTGGTTCTCAAGAAGTTGCTTGACACTTGTGGACTCTTCCAATATGAACTGACATATCCATTCCTTTTTTACACAGCAAAGTACAGACTTTGACTCTCTAGGCTGAGTCAAAGCAAAGGAATCCATAATATATCAGCTAACAGATCCAATCAAGTATATCTCCCTTGGTCAGGTGTGAACGCCATTCTTCTGATTTAGCCAAACATGAAAGAATAAAAAGGAATATTCACATAATATGTCAGCTTCCGATTTGTCTGTCCTTTTCCAGTTTGTAACCAAAAATACATGGCTGGAAAAAATGAATGCAGATATCCACTGTTTGTTTTGTGTAGTCAGATTTTGCTGTAAAGCTATGAATAATGACCTCGGAGTCAAATGTCAACTTTTGTCAGGGAAATGTAAGCCTCATTTAGATCTGGCGTGGATTACAAATGTTAGATTTGTTTCAGTCAGAGTTTTATTGAAAATTTCAGGAATCTCTCTCTATGTGCACGTAGGCTTCTTTTGATTTAGTCTCCTTTTGAAATCTCTATAACCGTTGCAGGTTTACGAGACTATGAAGTTAAACAGAAGAATTAAGGAAATACGGGTTTCTTGG